AACGTGAAAATATTTAGAATCCAATTTGCAAAATTAAGAAGTTTATAACTGAATTGGCAAAAATGCTATAGGTTTAGGACTTTTTGGACAATTTCATCCTCTATAAAGCCAAGTTTAGCTAGACAAGCAGACATGCTATGCAACCAAGATGGAAAAAGTGCGTCTTCTTCAAACAACATATCTATACACACACAAACATGAGATGGTGACGATCTAATAACAAATGACCATTTCCAGAATTACTATTGAACAATTTTTCAAGTCATATAGGTTTAAAGTGCTGCAGAAATTATCAGACACATAACAGAAATAAGAAAGAGGCAGAGGAGCATAACACTTTGTCATAACCTTTAAAATTCTGAAGACTACTTAATGAACTTATCGGAAAGCACAAATCAGTTAAAAGGAATACTTTTCGCACGTAATTTTGGGTATCCTACGAGATGGTCAGTCGAAATACTCAGACAACGATGAGAAGGTCATCGTGCCTTGACATTTACTAACGTTTTTACCAAGAGCAAAGACAATTACGAAAGCCCACCGCGTGCCTCCACCAAGTAGCCACAAGATACTCTTTTCTCACCAATTCTGCTAGCTGACAACATGCTCAAATTCAGTAAATCACAATAACCCATGAACTGGGTGTCATCCGAAAATTATTCTGATGCCTCACTTCACTGGCGAGTGGCGATAGCAACAACAATAAGAAACATCCAAACAGATGATGCAGCCTCCCATGCCCTATGAGTTTCTACTATCTACTCCGTCATAATCACGAAACAAAGACCGAATTTACAGGAACAAAGTCCCAAAAAATCGCCATCCAACCATACAAAATCCAAAGGGAATTGGCAACACGTAGCGGTGGCCAACACACCCATTCAGTCCTCTTCCAACAAAAGAACACAGAAAAATGAAGAGTAAGGGAAGGAAGAGGAAGAGAAAAAAGTGGAACTTACAGTCTCAAAAGTGGAAACAAAAATGAAGTCGCAAAGATCCCCCGAGTGTTGGAGTTGGCGAATATTTCGGGGACCCTTGTTTCTCACACCGGGTACGCCCACGTGAGCTTAGAGAAACTGAAGTGTTATCCGACGACATGTGACCCCTGCGTGTAGAATGCGGGGGTTCGGGGGCAACGCCCCCGACACGGGTGTCCCGCTGCCCTGTCAATGGGCGGGGGTTCGGGGGCAGCGCCCCCGAAACCTCAATGGGTTTGGGCTTTTATTTAAGCTGGCCCGTATGGTGCGAGATTAAGAGATTTCGTATAGGTTTAGGTTTTGGGCCCGTTTGGGGCACATATATATTTTGCTCGTTTTTCTGATGATTGTAACGAGTTGAGTGGCTGTAAACCGAAAATATAGTGAAATCTCTTTGCAGGACGTAGCCCTATTCGAGGGTGAACCTGGGTAAATTCGTGCATCGTCTATTTTCTCTGATTTCTGCGTGATCATTCTATTTCGATTCTCGATACGTCCCTTCATCGAGAACGGTTCCACAAATCCGAATTTCTCAATTATCGTCGCAAATGGGTCCACCCACCCAAACGATGGATCGTTTTCTGCCTCTCTCTTTCCTGTCAAGCTTTCTCTTACAATCGGATCGAGTCTGAAGTCATGCTTCGGGTTGTTCAGCTCGTAGTGCTTCTCTTTGCTTTAGAGAAGCTCAAACAGAGGAAGTGATCAGGAGTTCGAAACTCAAAAACCGAAAAGAATAAAAACATTGTAGACAAAAGAGAAAAACCTCACAGCTTCGACCATCATACCGATGACGAGTACGGTTAGCGGAGGCGCGTTGGCCATAGATACAGCAACAGTCAGAAAACACTTCGTTTTGTTAGGGGTAATTGATTCCCTATCTGGTCTGGTCCCACCCAGGAACTGGAACCGAACCAGGAGGACCTATTATCAGTTTATGGAATTGGGGACTGAACGACCTAGTTTTGGAACCGAACCGGACCGATTGATCCGGTCCTATTCCCAGGCGGTCCAACGGAATACATATTTTTTTGTGAGGAGCTTCATTGTGCTGTGGATGTATCTTGTGAATCCCGCGAACATACCTAATACATCTAGGGGTGTTCTCAGGCCATTGTCTCTGCTGCCTTTTGAGCAGAAAGCTTTTTTCCTTATGCACCCAGAGAGATAGATGGGATAAGGCCTTCTTCGATTTACAGGGCGGATAACTGGGAAGCTGTCAATATTGCTGAGGTTTGAAGGTGGAGGATTTTTGGTTTTTAAGCGGCGGTAATTCATGATGCATCTCAAGGTTCCATTTTGGCCCCATTTGGTTCAGCATTTGGAATGCTCATTTGGGCTCTAAAGTCCCTTGGCCAAATGCAAATGGTGTTTGGCAATTTTTTTTACTCACTTTGGGGAGATGCAATTGCATTTGGAATGCTCCCCAAGGGACCTTTGGCCAATGCTTCACCGGAGGTGCTTTGGGAAGTTGCATTTTCGGAATGCAACCTGCACTGTTCATGGACACTGTTCATTTTCCCCAGACCAAGGTCCGGTGGCCGGCGACCGCCACCTGAGGGCTAGCCCGACCCCGGCGACCACCGTTTGGGGGTCGCACGACCCCGGCGATCGCTGCCTGGGGTCGCCGAACCTCGGGTGTCGCCTGGGTCGCGCGACCCAGTCCAAGCGTTGCCTGGGTCGCGCGATCGCCAGGCGACCAGATTTGGCTGGCGGCGATGGCCGCCAGTTTAGCTCCAGCGGGGTTTTTTTTTTTTAAAAAAAAAATTAGCAAAAGTCCTTTAGCCCAAGTTGATTTTAAAAAACACTTACCAAACACTCAGAAAACCCCTTTAGCCCAAAGGTATTTGCATTCCCCCAAATGCATTCCCCCAAAGTCGAACCAAACAGGCCCTTTGTCCACTAATGTGGCTGGGTTTGTTGAGGGATCGTCGGCTCATGGGATGGTTAAGTACATGATTGTTCTGATGTTGCTTTGTAGCTTCGTATGGAGGGATGAGAGGTAGGGAGAGAGAGAGAGAGAGAGGAAGAAGAAGAGGAATATTGGAGAGGGAAGGCCAACTAGATGTTATAATATCGGTCGGGTTCCCACCACGGAAGCAGGAACCGGACTGCCCATCACTAGTTCCAATTTCATGGAATCGGAAATCGGACCAGCACTCCTCGGAACCGTCTAGAACCGGCTGGTCCAAGTGGTTCCTGGTTCGGACAGTTTCCATTGCACACCCTTATCGTTTGTGAAGAAGAGGAAGGAAACGACGAGGACATCGAAGCGAAGACCAAGAGACCTTAATTTGAACGGTGTTGCTGCGATGGCTTTGGGCTGCGTAGCGGGTTTGGTTTTGTAAAAATGAGATAAAATATGGGTCACTAATGACCCATTTATGACCTGTTTTTTGGGCTTTATTTTTTCTCAATCCAGCCTAGCCTATTTTAGGAAAAAACGAGTTACTCATGCCGAATTGGACCCATTACATCTTAGTAGACCTGTTAAACGGGTGGGTCGGATCAGATTTGGATCGGGTCATAAACGGTCCTACCCAAATTAATTCATTAACCCGTTTATGACCCATTTTTTTGTAATGTAAATATCCCGACCCATACCCAATCCATACCCGACCCAATCCATATTGCTAAAACACTTCTATATTTAACTCAATATCGGAAAGCTTATTTCTTATGACTTTTTAAAAAAATTATACTACTAAAACATTTTCATGCAATACAATTTTTAAATATTTTTTTATTTTATTAATTTTAATATATTTTTATTTTTTAAAATCCAATTTTTAATTTTTTTAATTTTTTATTTTTCCTTTATTTTTGGCCTATGGCCGGCCACAACGACGGCCGGCGTCCAGCCACCGGCCACGGGCGAGGACGAGCTCGCTGATTTGACGAGGCCGAGACCTCGCTAGCCTCGGGCGAGTTTGACCTCGCCAGATAGGTGACCTCGAGCTCGCCCGAGGCCAGCGACCTCGAGTCTCGCCACAGGCCGGCGAGCCCGTTCCTCCCCTTTGGCCAGTGGCCGGTCGTCGGCTGTCGCCGTGACCGACCACCGGCCGAAAAGAGAAAGAGAAAAAAATAAAAGAAAAAAAAAAGAAAGAAAAGAAAAGAAAAAATAAAAAGAAATTGGATTTTAAAAAAAATATTTTTATAAAAAGAGGGTGGACTTAATGAGTGGGTTGGAAATGGATTCCATACTCAACCCATTAAGACCCATTTATGATAGGCTTAAAACTTTAAGACCATTTAAGATGGGCTCTTCAAAGTTGTATTGACCTATTTATTTTTTAAATGGATCATATATGAATTTTAAGACTCATTTAACAGGTTTACATCTGAGTCACAAAATGGGTTTGGAAACATTTTGCTGGCCCTAGCCGAAAGGAAGCCCAATTCATCCCAATTCATCCATATGCTCATATTGGACATGCAACTTTCTTTCTTTTTGACAGATGACATGGGGAGTGACAATTAGACCTGTCAAAATGGGTCATAAACACATTTCTTAACCCATATATTAGTAAATGGGTCATAAATGGGTTAGTTATATTTAGTGAATGGATCATAAATGGGTAGAAGTCTTATATAGGTGTTAAATGGGTCGTAAATGGATCGTAAATGGATCATAAATGAGTTTACAATTGATTTAAACTCAACGCATCTCTCTCGCCCTCACTTAATCTTGCACTCACTCACTCCACACTCTCATTTCAGTTTGGATATGAATTTTCGTATATTTAATTAAATATAAAAGTGTTTTAGCAATATGGGTTTGATCGGGTATGGATTGGGCATGAGTCGGGTATGGGTCAAGAAAATTGCATTGCGCATAAATGGGTCATAAATGGGTTAATGGGTCAATTTGGGTCGGACCATTTATGACCCGACCCAAACCCGATCCTATTCACCCATTTAACAGGTCTAGTGACGATACATCCTCCGAAGAAGAAAAGCCGAAAGTAATCCGAATACCCCTTTGTAATCAACAACAGCAATGGGCCAATTCTTTATAGTGTCTCATTTCGGAAGTATTTCGGATTTTCTATTACCGGGAGAGCCAATCGTTTTCCTCGGAAGGATTCCACAAGACCAGCCAATCCGCCCAATCCAGTTCCAAAATCGCAGCAAGGCTTACAGGGGGAGAAAATGAGTAAAAAAACCAAAGGAAAATAGCAACTACAACCAAATCAAAATCATCAGCAACTTGCCAATTGAGAGAATTCCAGCAGAAAAGGAAGGAACCCATTCCTCAAAACTGCAACGGAAACTTGCGGGCACTGCGAAGCCACGTCACCGCGATTCACATCCGCTTCCTCTTCCCGGCGCCGTCGTAGTTCTTGACGTGGAAATCCACGAAGAGGGCCAGGAGCGAGGCGTTGAACACCGCATTGAAGCACCATCCCCAGATCCCGGAGCAACCCGAATCCGATCCCCCGAAATGGTACCACAGCATCACGACGGACACCGCGAAGCTGAACACGAACTGCACGATCTGGCCATTCGTGACCAGCCTCTTCCACTTGGGACGCACCCCCACCGCGCACAGCAGGTAGTAGCTGTACATCACCACGTGCACCGTCGCGTTTGTCACCAGGGCCACCGGGAACAGCGACTGCGCCGTCTGCAGCCACAGGTAGCACATCACCACCACCGTCGAGTGGTGGTACACGTGGAGGAACGTCAGCCGCTGGATCGACCCTGACAGTATTATCAGCAACGTGTCCACGAACTCGAGCATCTTGGAGAGGTAGAACACGTAGGCCCAGAAGAAGGTGGGCCCGGCCGGCTGGGTATTAGCCGGGAAGCAGAAGATCCAGCGGGGGTCGGGCATTTGGGAGGCGGCGGAGAGGGCGCATCCGACCGCCATGGCGAGGGAGAGGAGGGTGAGGGCGAGGTTGTGGAGGGCGGTGATGGGCTTGAGGAGGTGGGAAGCGAGGGTGGGCGGCGGGAGGAGGCGGGAGAGGAGGAGGGTGAGGGAGAGGTAGGAGAGGACGGCGAGGGCGAGGAAGAGAGGGGAGGAGGCGGAGGTCTGGCCTTGCTCCCACCGGAAGTTGTGGATTGCTGGGTGGCGGACCAGCCAGTACTCGACGGTTGACAACATGGGGCTCGTACTTTTCGCCGTCGCGGCCCGATTGAAGCGGCGAAGAGAGAGAGGATGAAGGGGTTGACTCGAGTGGAGGCAGAGGCAAGTGCTGTGACGAGACTGTCGTTTGCGCTTTCAAGAAGGCATGGAGCTTGTCGTTTTTGGCCCACGACTCGAGGATTCATTGGCGAATCATCATCATCTATTGGTCCGGAGCGTTGGGCGGGGAGAGAACATCGGCAATTGGATGCAGAATTGTAGGCAGAATTGTAGGCTTCTTTTATGTCGTGGAAAATGTGACTATTTTAAAAAAAAAATTAAGAAAAATAAAAATATTTTTGGTATTTGGCTGAAGTCTGAAAATTAATTAAAAAATAATTTCTACCGTTTGGTAGAAAAAATCTAAAAATTATCAAAATATATGAATTTTAAACAAAATAAATATACGAATTTCTTTAAATATTTTTAGAAGAATGAACATTTCATTAATCACGAACCCACGCACGGCCTTTGTGGACCAGAGCTCGAGAGTCGGGGGCCCTAGCATAGCCTTTCATGGGCCAAGTACCAAGGGTTCAGGCCCGACCTCGATGGATTCGAGCGTGGGCGCTAGGAGGCCCTGGCTCAGCTTTAGGGTTCGACAGCTAGAGACTTGATCTCACCAACATTAGGGTTTTGGTGTCCAAGCGTAGAGTTTCGAGTCCAAATTTCGATACTTAGTTATATTTTGAAAAATGTTTTCCGACTTTTCAAAAGTGGAAATCATTTTTTTGAATATTTTTCCATTGATTAGGAAAATATTTTCCATCAACTCATTTTCCTAAGCGAACCAAAAATCGAAAAAATGAGCAAATTTTCCGTTAAATAAACGAAACCTTAGTGATATGTGGACAAAATCATTCCTCGTAATTGATAAAATTGGATATACGATAGTAAGTGTATCAACTGTTTAGTCGCATGTTAATAAGCTAGTCTTTAACTTATATTAAAAAATTGATCAAATATCCAGTCAGTCACAGTTGAACTATTCACAAGTCTCTGTCATTGGCTCTTTTGGATATTTCTTCGAGTGATTCTACACTATTTACTTTCTTGCTTAACAAGTTGCACGTTCGATTGCTCGTCAAAAGCAAAGTCTAGGAGTGCGCAAGAAGAAAGCCCACGAGGATTTGCAGTAGCTTTAGTTTATCCTCTTTGATTAGATGATGACGAAAGAATGGAAAGTAGCTAAACCAAAGCAACATTGGGCGGGAGAGAAGGAATCGCCTCCCCTGAATCCTAAGCCATTCCTTTCCCCACGCTAGGATTCACCCACAAGAACCCAAAATCGACAGACAAGGAATCCAAACCATCTCTCGCACGCCTAATATAAATACCCTCTCTTCTCCTGTTCATTTTCTCGCAACCAAAAGCATAAGAATCCCCGGAAAGTCTCCTCTTTGCCCCCGCTACTATGTCGTTTCCCCACCGTCCTCCTGTAGTTGTCAATGGAATCAGGAGAATGAGGACTTTCCATTACTATTGGTGTCGTGTGTGCCAACGGACAGTTCGGCTCGCGCCTAACAATCCGTATGAAATATCTTGTCCGTTCTGTTACAATGAGCTGCATTGCGAGCTTGATGTGTCGAGGCCAAGATTGGTGGCTAATTATGGAGGCCGCGTGCCAAATCGGGCTGTTCAATTACTTGATGGCATGGCTCGACTGCTCGACCCGCCCCCAACGATGAGGCGGGGATTTGACATTGGCAGGAGGGCCATCTGGGAAACAGAAAGCGGAGATGGCCCATTTTCAAGATCATGGGTTACACTTCAATTCATGGAACGACCTCGCAGGCCACGGCTTGTCCATCCACCGGAAAACCCGGCTCCTAGAGCGAATTTTAGGAGCAATGACGGCGGGGATGAGAATTCCTTAAATGAGCTTATCGAAGAGTTGACACAGAATGACCGCCCGGGACCCCCTCCTGCACCTGCTTCAGCTATGGAAGCCTTACCCATGGTTGTAGTAACCGAAAATCATCTGAGCAGTGGCATTCACTGCCCGGTATGCAAGGAAGAGTTTGAGATTGGTGGCGAAGTAAGGGAGATGCCGTGCAAGCACTTTTATCATTCGGACTGCATCATCCCGTGGCTGCACATCCACAACACATGTCCGGTCTGCCGCCACGAACTTCGTGAATCTTCCGGTAACGAATTCCCCGGCAATGGTGATGAAGAGTCTGATGACGAACAAGATACAAGCGGGATGAACTCGTGGTGGAGTCACTTGTTTTCCTCGTGGCCATTCCAAGCATTCTCGCGGTGGGTACATGAAGCCCTCGATTTTCCAGAACAAAGGGCAGGCACTTTGGACGGGGGTACGTGCGTTTCATAATTAACAGCTCAGTTCACTTAGAGAAAACAACATTATATTTTTCGTTTTGTAGAGATCAATTTACAACCTGAGAGATTATTTCATTGTGTTCGACCAAAAAAAAAAAAGATTATTTCATTGTGGATCTTGATGTCATTGTACAGGTAGATCCTGGTGGCACTCCTGGCTCATTATATAACTTCGTTGAGGCAAAGGGCATGGCTGCTGTGTCAATGGTGCATGTCCTACAAACTCCATAGCTCTCAGTTCATCTCATTTAATGGTAAGTACTTGTATATACTAACTTCAAGATAGGACTTCGATCCAAGATTAGAGAAAAGGAGGGAAAAATGAAAAAAAAAAAAGTAGAGGTTTTGGCGACATCTTGGGGAGACGTTTCCAAGCAAAAAGGTAAGCAAAATGCTGTGTGTTACATTGCAGATGCCTAACTCTTCTGCAGATGAGATTCAACTCAAGTTCCTGATGTTATCATTGACAATTTGACATTACTTTTGTTGAATTTAGAAGGATATATAGCAAGTTAATGTTGTTGGGCGGATAGTATGGTGCATCAGGTAGAGCAGAGCAGGATTTGGATCTCCATGGCATGAAGGGCCAGTCAATAACTTCAACCTTACCAGCAACTTGAGCTTCAAACAGAGTTTCAACCCCAGAAGGAGATAGAGGGGGAGCTATCATCAGTTGAAACTTACACGTTAGGAAAGAAATGTGAATTAATTTGTGTTGTTATGGCAACTGTACATACTTCTTTTTTTCTTCTTCATAATTCTTCATATTGACTGATTATGAAAAAAAGGATTTCAATAATTATAATTTTAACTTTCAAATTCGGTGTTCACGCCCTGTAAATGACCAAAACAACCTTATTTCAAATAAGGTAAAGAGGATATTAGATGCCATCAACAGAAAAACCCATGTCCCTCAATAGTTACCTAGCATATTTCCTGTTTTTATGTGACACACTCCCACACTTCCAATGTATATGTTGGAAATCTAATTGGCCGAGTTTGTTTTAGGGCACTAACAATACCATAACTTTCCTAAGACATTAATTTTGGTGCCATGACTTTTCAATATGTGCAGTAACTTTTAAAAAAATATCACCTAAGTTACATCGGCAATTTTGTTTTATTGCCGGAAAATCATCCACTACATTAATTTTCAACGACCCAAGTCGAATGTTGTAATATTAAATTAATACCACGTATCATTTTCAAGCAAGAAAAATTAGCGATATGATATATGTTTTTAGAAGTTTGGACATTTAAATAATTGTTTAAAAAGCCATGGCACCTGAACATCATAGAAAAATTATGGCACTATGGTGTCATTTTCCCAATTTTTTGGGGTATGGACCAAGCCGTGTTTATAAGTCAGTCAAAAAGCTACGAAAGATTTGAGGGGATGGATTGTTAATTTTTTATTTTAAAAGATGCAGATTGAGAATCTATTACCTATAGTTAAAAATGGAGTTGGGAGAGTGTTTGATCCTGTAATTCCCATGTAATAAGGAAATTAGTAATGTGTCAAAGAAAAATTGGTACAAGAAGCCCTGTATACACTTCTTGATAATAGATCCCGCCGACGACGAATGAGAAATTGTCATAATAAAGTAAGTCATTTTCGGATGTTATTGAAAGCAAAGAGAGAAGATTTTGCAAGACTCTAATTGACAAACCGGTCGATTAGTTTAAAGGGATTTTCCTTGTTGGATTAGAGGACAACATATCACTTATTTGGGTATCCATGTATCCTAAAGGGAATTAATACGACATAAATAATCTTTGAACTTTGGCCTAATATGTAACGTGGTCTATGAACTTTTAATTTGTTTAATATGATCCCTAAACTTTAGCTTAATGTGCAATATCGTTCATGAACTTTAAATTTGTTTAATGTAATTCTTGAACTTTTGGTACTTTTTCAATTTAATTCTTAAATTATATGAAAATGTTCAATATTGTCATTCCATTAATTCAAGTTGAGAGACGACATTGAACATTTTCATCGGACTAAATTGAATATGTACCTTATTAAACAAATTAAAAGTTTAATGACGAAATTGTACATTAAATTAAAATTTATGAATCACATTATACAGTGGATCAAAATTCAGGGATTATTTACGGAAATATCCCTGTCCTAAATTCTGGGAATGCCCCATCCTCTACAGAACTTTTGACCCCCCCTTTAAGTCCGTCCGGTTCTTCGTCAGTTTATTAACTGAGGCACGGAAGGGTCTGTAACGGAGAAAAGCTCGGGAAACAGTCCCGGCGGACTGATTTGTGCAGCAACGGAGTCAATTGTCACACGAGCTGGACGAACTATTGATTCCGCTTCGAGTAATATGCTGGGACTATCTGCAAACCCCACGCCTCCCTGTTACCGCCGGCACTGCCAGTTCCGGCGGCTCGGGATGTCCATCGCCGGTGGCTCTTCCGGTCCCGTGGCCATCCATCTGATCACCGGCGCCGCTTCTCTACGCCTCGGCCACCGCCTCTGCTGCCTTATCAATTCCTCCTTCCAGGTTTAACTTTCTCGCTCTGGGATTGTTAGCTTAATTAAGTTTAGAATTGAAGACCCCTTTTAAGCTTTTCAACGAACAAGCTAGATTAGCGAAGTTGTTTTTTTTTTGGTAAGGAAAGATTAGCGAAGTTGTTTATTGGAGAGTTTTTGCATTTTCTTGGGTCTTTCGTGTTGCTCGCGGTAACCCAAATTGAGGGTCTAAGAGAGAAGAAAGCTAGTACTTGAGCATGCCACCGCAGGAACTAAAATTCAGCCAGTGTGCTTGGATTCGCCTTCCGGGATTGAGTACCCTGGATCAAAAGGTGGAAAAATGCGCAGTTGCAAGATTGGTTCATCTTGGAAACAATGGTCTTGTGGGTATGAAGATAAGATACATTTTTAATGAAATTCAGTTGTTATTGTACTTCCATATAGCGGCAATTGATAGATCAGTGGGATGACCTTGGTCTTACTTCTTGCTCATATTCCCCCTCATACATTTTTAATGACATTCAGTTGTCGTCTTCCTTTATAATACAACTGTATTTTCACACAATTCTACACTGTGATCTTACGACTGACATGCATGAAGGCCCCTGCACAAGGGTGGCTCCACTCTACCAACACTTGCCTACTGGAATTCACACCATTGACGTCAATGGGTACTGTAGTATGTCTGTATTTGTTGCTTTTTCTCTATGGGAGTTGCACTCTATTGACATTGGCCTTAAGACAAGTTTCGCTCTCAAGGTCTACCGATATGCTGTAACTTTAATTCAGTTCATGGGTAGCACTTTCTTATGGCAGGTCCAACCTCTATCGTTACTTGTCTGGCTATGGGTCTATCATGCCCTCCTAGAAAATTAGCTGGAGGCATATTTTGTCTTTGATTCCACTTGATACAAATCTGAAGGAACTCCCCATTAAATGGTTGCCCTTTAGAGTAAGCGAATGATAGAGAGCTTGCGATATAGTTGACCTTAGACATTCCTTTAAACTGACATCTATCTGCACTTTCCTAATAGCCAACAATAAAGAATTATGCTGTTAAACAGAAATCACTCATCTCAATCGTTTGCAGAGGTTGAAGGATATTTGGTACGAAAGAGCCCTCTCCGTCAATGGAATTGAGTTTCTTCAGTTATCAAAAGATGCCTTTTCATCCACATCTTCATCCTTTTTCCATTTTTCTGATGGAAGAGAAGGTAGAACTGATGGCAAATCATCTTCTGAAACATCCAGAAGAAAGTCCTCCGATGGTAGACATTGGACAAATGTCATTCTAGCTATCAATATCTTGTGGGTACCGTATCCAAGTGTCATTTTGTTGAATCACCTGCTGCTGTACATTTTTTTTTTGCCGCATTTATTACACACTGCTGCAGTAGTTTTGTCTTTCTTGTCCGAATTTTCAGTTTCTTATTTTGTGTTTCTCTTTCTCAGAGTATTTGCTGGACAACTCGCAACTCAGGGCAAACTGCTCTCTTGGGGAGCTAAGGTTAGACAGTTGAAGAGAATGGAAGGCCTATGTCTGTTCTTGAAAATTCAATTTGCATCATCTACGTTCATCGGGTGAATTAACTTTGCAGATTAATCATCTCATCGACAAGGGACAATGGTGGAGGCTGGCCACATCATCTCTCTTACATGCGAATGTCATGCACCTCATGGTCTGGTTGACAATGTTGCTCATCTTTTATATATTATGGTCAACGGTCTTGGACTTAAGGTTGTCCTTTGCAGGTTAATTGCTATTCTTTGAATTCCATTGGTCCCACCGTGGAAGCAGTCAGTGGCCCCAAAAAATATCTAACAGTTTACGCCACTTCTGCAATTGCAAGTAACAGCTCGGACATACTGATGCAATCAAACAGTTGCATGTTTACTGGTTGTTAATAAAAATTCGCATTCTACAGGTTCAGCAATGAGTTATTGGTTGAACAAAGCGCCTTCCGTAGGTGCTTCTGGGGCAATTTTTGGACTGGTGAGTCCTCTTGAAGTCATCCAGCATAGTTCAAACATGCCTTCATAGACAAAACATTGAACCTGATTCGTGGAAACAAATGGTTATAAGGCTGATAGTTATGTAACAGAAATCCACTTGAAGACTAGCATTTTCCTTTTCTTCCTCTTGCCTTTCTTCTGGTCATTGTTATGCATCTGATGCTTTATTTAGGTTGGTTACATGGCTGTGTACATCATGAGGCATAGGGGCCTGATTGGAGATGCCAACGAAGGTCTAAAGCACATAGCGAAAGTAATTATGTTAAACATGGTATGTTTCTAACAAGCAACCATAGCTCTTTCAATGTTCTTAAATTGTATTCTATTCTTCTGTCATGTTTCCTGCGGCACCTTAGTATGGCTAGCAAGCATGCTTTTGCTTCTTCCAAGTTATTGCTTTTGATCAAGCTTATAGAAGTAGAAGTGCATTAGGAACGCAGCTTTGGGAACATTACTATTCTATGTCTAAGTTAGCATGCTTGTATCTGCAAGATAAGTTAATATGTCGAATGTCCTTGCTGCAGGTCATTGGGCTGTCTTCGAGAGGTATCGACAACTGGGGACATGTAAGTATTGCAGCAATTTCTCATATGTGTTTGCACTATGTGCTTTCATCCTATTGGAAGTTTACTGGAATTTCTCGAATGTAGTGATAAGAAAACGGAATGGCACGGGCGCCATTACTTTGTGGTCTTCTCTAGACAAACAAGAAACTTTGTGATGACTTGCGTGCAGATGCATAGGGGAAAATGAAAGTTTCCAGTCCTCTTAGATGGATATCCATCTTCATCAGATATCTTGCTCGTCATTTTGAGTAATGTTCATTTCTTAAAATTTCCATATACAGGTAGGAGGATTGCTTGGGGGGGTAGTCACACCGTGGCTTCTTGATCCTGCTTCGAAGCTCGAGCATAGGTCTAGCGATGGTCGAAGAATCATTGACATCAAAGGGAGAAAAGACCCGGGGCAGCCGAAGTGAGGTGTGAATTGCAGTGATCAAGATGCAACTCCGCCTCCCTACCCACAAACTTATTTAGCGTGTACAGACACTCTGCAACGACACGTGAAAAACTGGGTTATGTAAAGGAGATTAAAGATCAATCAATTGCCTTGTGACTAATTAGATGAAAAGATTTGCAGGGTTGGCAAAATGATCAAGCTTCGAACTTTAAAATCGGGATGAGTTGGTTGATTTAGCTTTGTACTCGTGCGAGATAAAGATTCCACCGTCGGATATATCTCATACAATCCCAGCAAGGTTGAAACTGATCACATGCTTTTGGGACAGTGGGTATCGCTAGTCTATGTATGATCTTAACTCAATACAGATCATAAGACCCGGGTGTATAGTTCTTCCAGGATCGAAAGACAATCATGAGATGAATTCGCCGTTCGTCTGTAGCGTTCGAGGAGTCCGAGGATAGTCAGTCGCCTCTAATTTCACTTGCTTTTTGGAGGAAGTTTTCGTAATCTAAACTTTGCCCACTAAGGGCCCATTTGGCAAGTTGCCAATCAGTGAAAATTTATGCTTTTTTGTTTCCAGAATCAGTTTTGAAACAGAAATTTATTTGTTAAATTTTTTGTGTCCGGGCATAAATTTGCAAAAAATTGTTCCCAGAGTCAGTTTTAAAACAGAATTAATAAGCAAAAAAATGTAGCTTCTTGATTCTGGAACAAATTTTCCATTTTTGATTCTTCTTGATTTTTTTCTTTTTTCTTGGTTTGTTGTTGTTGTTCTTCTTCCCGGCCTGCTACCGGCCACAGGCCAGGCCCGGCGAGGGTGTCGCGACCCTCGCCGCCTGGGAAAGGGTGGCTTGCGACCGCGACGGCGAGGCCTCGCCCAACCATGGCGAGGCCGACCTCGCCGTCGCCACCGGCGAGGGCTGCGACGCCCTCGCTGGCCTGTGGCCTGTTGCCGGCGCCGGCGACTGGCCAGGGCCAAGGAAGGGAAGGAAAAAAAAAGGTAGAAATATTAAAAAATGAAAAATATTATTAAGATATTATTAATAAAAAGAAATTTTGTGTAATTACCAAACTCATTTCTATTCTTTTTCTATTATAAGAATAGAAATTTTAGGCAGTTACCAAACGCCTTCAAATGCTTAAAAATTGTTCCCGGGCACGGAATAGAAAAGAATCATTTATGAGCAAAATTTATTTTCGGGTACAGAATTGTTACTATGCGCAGCCTAAGTCGCAGGCAACAAGATGTTTCCCTCCATCTTTCCAAACAGCAAAAAGAGCATATTTGGCAGAGGACAATAGAGGCCCGGAGTTGAGCATGGGTAGGTCCAAATCCGGCAATTGAAGAACCGATTTTTCCCCCTTTTTTTAATACCAACAAGACCGCAGCAGATTTGCACGAAATTCCGTGGCGGAACGAAGAGAGAGAGAGAGAGAGAGAGGGGCCCGTCGAACGGTCAGAAAATTCAAAAGTTTAAAATGAAAGCGCCCTCCTTTTGCATGGGGGGTGCTGGTGGTGGGGGGACGAGGTTTCGCTGTAATTTTCATGCTCGTTGAATTTTAAAAAAATTGAAAACCCTGAAAAAAAAAACATAAAATAAAACATGAAATTTTAGCCCTCCGTCTCCGTCCTTCCTTGGCTCGCAACCTCCACCTATCTTTTCTTTCTTTTTTCTTTTTTTTTTTCTATTTGTTCAAGGTCTTCTCTTTTTTAAAATTTGAAAAAACCCCTCTTGAACCCCCCCCCCCTCCTCTTCTTGAAAGAACGCGCCCTCTCTCTCTCTCTCTCTCTCTCTGCACAGTGCATACCATAAGAAGCAGAAGCAGCAGCTATAAGTACTGCACTGGGAATATCGCGAGAGCCCCTTTGCTTTTGGGATACCCACCTACCTCTCCTTCTCCTTCTCTTTCTCTCTCGGCGTGGAGCTCAGATTGGTGAAATCTACAGTAAGTATCGCCGCAGCTGACAATGGACGATATGGGCTCTTTTCTTTTCTCGTCTTCTTCGTCTCCATGTAAATGCAAATTTTGGTTTTGTCAGCGTGAGATCTGGTAGTATAGCTCCTCGTCTGGTGCGCGCTCCACGTGCTTGTTTTTCGGGTCGGGAACTCCCCTTTTCTTGAACCCTCGCCCTTTGCGTAATCGGGACATTTTTAGCTTCTCTTCCGAATCTTTTTGACTCCCCCTTTGTGCAATTGGTTTTTATCGTCCACCCTCTTATTGCCGACGTCTGTAGCGCGAGGTGTGCCGACCGATGGAGGACGATGCATTGGTTGACTATGAATTGCCCGGACTCGTATTAGTGTCAATTCAGAATCGAGTGCATCATATGGCCCTCTGTAGCCAGGATGGCTAACTTTACTCCTCATGATAATCCGTTCTTTTAGAGCTCTAGCTGAGGGATCCTAGAAAGCCAATTGATAGAGCCTGTGAGTATGCTGCTGTGGCTTTGAATATTGAAAGCTCTTGCATCATTTAGCTAGCCACTGGCATAAGATTATTTGTGCTTAGGGTGGAAATTCTATATCCGATAGATAAATCTGACTTCCGATTCTTGGAAATCTCCTTTGGTTCGATTCATTTAATTGCAATGGCTTTGCAATGAACACATTTCTCTTCTGTGCGTGATATGTCTGCCGGGTTTTATCTGCAGTTATACGGAGGCCAAACGTGTTGTGAGTGGACTGCCATCTGTTTGATTGTTGTCCCCGCAGGATGGATTCCCTTCCTGATGCCATCGTACAATACATTTTATCATACGTCGATAATGCCAGAGACATAGCAGTTTGTAATTGTGTTTCTAAGCGATGGAAGGATTCACTGCCTTACATCAGAAGACTCTACTTCCCTCGCAACTCTTTTGAGAATAATGCCGGAAGGGACAATCCCGACAATGTTGTGTGGAGGATGATCGCTTCCATCGTTCAGTTGGACGAGCTCGTTGTGTACTGCCCCTTCTCCAGCGCAGGCCTTGCTTCATGGCTCTCACTTGTGTCTTCATCCCTCCGACGCCTCGAGCTTCGGATGGACAATCTCGCCGAACAACAAGCATGTTTGGAGACCCCCTCGAAGCTTGATTGCATTGGTGCTGCAAAGGATTTGGAGTCACTAAAGCTGTGGGGTGTCCTCATGACTTGTGTGCCTAAATGGGACATATTCCCGAAACTCAGGAATCTTGAAATCGTTGGTGCAAGATTGGAGGGTCCTGCACTGTCCTCTGCAATTCAGGCATGCCCTAATCTGACAAGCCTGTTACTGCTTGGCTGTGAGGGGGTTAGGTCAGTTTCGATTGATTTGCCTCTCTTAGAGCATTGTAAGCTGGACTTCTATGGCTTGGGTAACTGCTCGCTTTCTCTCACTTCCCCAAAAATTGAATCGCTCGAGGTACAAGGTTGTAGCTGGATAAGAGTTCGCGAGACAAATTGCTTGCGAAATCTCTCAATTTCCAATAATTCTGGTAATGAGTGTTTGGGGATTTCTTTTTCAGTGTCTTTCACATGAAAATGTTATCGAAAATATTAACTGATTCTTTGCTTCTTCTTTGAATTCAGGAAGGGTGTACATGGTGGATTTCGGAAAACTTAGAGCACTTGAGTTCTTGTCCATCAGAGGGATCCAGTGGTGTTGGGACGCAGTGAGCAAAATGCTCAAATGGGCAAGTGAGGTGAAGCATCTATACATGAAGGTGGAATTCACTGGGGATTATGAAGCCCTTCAACCATTTCCAGAGGTTGACTTAGTTGATTTCTTCAATAGCCATCCAAAGCTGCAGAAATTTGATGTTCATGGGGCCATGTTTGCAGCTCTTTGCCAGAAGAACAGCCTAAAAAATGTGAGTCCATATTATTATCAGGAAAATGCAACGGATGTCAAAACTTCAAAGTACTACTTTTTGCTAAGGGATGACATGTGGTTGTATGTTTAATTGTGAAGTCCATTTTATTTTGCAGATAGATACAGCCTTTACAATTCCATGTTTGGAGGAGGTTGCGATAACAGTAAGATCCCCATTGAATGCGGAACAGAAAATGGGTACACTCGAGTCACTCGTGAAGTATGGGAAGAGTCTCAAGACAATGGTGATAAAGATTCTTCAAATGAAGAGCAGCCATAGCAGTGCTGATGATTTTTTTGACGAGATCTGCAGGTTTACATACATGAACAGGAAACTAGTGCGAATTGAATAAAGGCTTGCTGGGGTAACTGTTCCTCTATTTATACACCCCCAGTGCAATCTCATATTCTCTAACCTGCCATTGACTGCTGCTTCCCATAGAAACTTTCCTTGTTTCAGTTTGTAGTATGCTTTATGTACGACAGAAATAAATGAGATACCTAATTTTTCGTTAGTAGTGCTCTTTTCGGCCTGACTGTTGAGTCAAGAGCAAAACAAAGTTGCTAATGTGATAGATCGGTTTGCATCGAATAGTGTTGACAGCTAAATAGCAGTAGATAATTCAATCAGCTCCTTGAAATTGGTTATTGCAAGGAGGATGATGCAGATGATGCTGGAAGCTGATTTGCTTGTTCGCTGGGGCTCACTGTAGTTTTAGAATTGATGTGTACTGAGTGAGACAAAGTTGTACTTTGACAGAAATGTGCAGATTTCTCAACATTTGGGAAGGTGTATTTACCAAATGGATTAGTTCTTATTCTTTGTTTCTTCACTTCATTTGACTAATTCTGTCATTGTGCTACTTACCTTATGTCTATCTGCTCCTACCCTAACTGCTTGACAAAACTCAAACCAACACAAGATGGTCTTTCCAATTTCTATCAGAAAAATAAGCTGCGATTCGTGTGGCCTCAAATGAGGATCACTGAAATATGAAGGACATATAATGCCCACCCATCTGAATGACTGCAAAACCAGTAAGTTGACGTTGTGGAGAAAATTTTTTTTTGCTCTAGGTGTTTCACTTTAAATTATCATTTCAGAATACCGGAAATAATTGTGCCTCAGAAAGAACTTCTCTGGCCTGTAGGAGATGCAGAGGGTTCTTACCCTATTAGTATACCTTGTAACCATAAAAATTGATGATTCTGTCCCGTTCTTGTATCAGTTCAAAAATGCATGTTGAGCTATTGATTTGCAAATTCACGAGTGACAAATCTTGGGATAATAGCGGTGTAAATAAATTAGTAGGTGGTAGCATAGCTCTGCAAATTCAACAAGTATTTATCCTCATTGCATCAATCCTTGAAAATAGTCCGAGATGCATGCTAGAACTTATTTAAGATGTACAGGTGCTAATTATGCCCCACAGCCACAGCATCAAGTATTCCTCATACTTCATTGAAACTGCAAACCCTAGATCAGCTTCTTGTTTCGGAAAAATCGCTTCAGAAGCCACAACTGGACACTTGAAGCTGCAATGCAGACTCCCAATGACATGATACTGAAATGGGCCACTCTTGCATTTGTTCTTTCACTCACTGTTCTCATTTCCGCTTCCCTGTGTTCTCCCAAAAGAATATCCGAGTTAACACCATCTCAATCTGGAGAAGACATTATGAGGATAACGAATAAGAGATCACCTTTCCTTAATATAAAACACGTGGTTGCGGATGGCTTCAACATATCCTTCAAGCTTCTTGAGCTCAAGCTCCACTCCCTAACATCGGTACCATGTTGTCCACAAAATCAGAACTGCCAAACATACCTTTACAAAAGAAATTGCCAGCAAAACCAATGGCTTGAAAACAAATTCCACAAACTTTCACAAATGCGACATCTAATCACCACACAAATCTGAAAACCGAACTAGGTATTCTGGGATTAGAAATTGCCCTATGTCTTGGATCTTTTCATACGTAGTTAATAGTTGTACAAACCTGAATCTTCTCTTTTTTCGCGACCGATTCCCAATCTTTTGCAGCAATTCCAGTTCTCCAGTCGATGAGAACACTCACTTCTCCACCTCCGGGATTGCTGTCCACCGATAAACATGCTATGTGGTGACCAGCCTCGCTGGTTGTGAATGCAAACTGACCATGTGTCACATTCTCCTTGTGATGAAGAACATTTCCAAACGGTGAGGTCACCTGCATCGAGTAAGCTAATGCCACCAGTGAGCAGAATGAAGCGGACAAACGCTGACCATAACAAAACATAAAATTTGTAAGTAATAAACAAAGATTACCTTGACGGAAATAGCAGTGAGATTGGATTCAAAGTCGGAAATGACAAGGTAATCAGCCAAAACAACGACGTTTTGGTGGATTTCCTCGTACACGCACTTGGTTCCGGCGGCCGGTAGGTTCACCCAGATTGCGTGACTCTTCTCCACCAAAACGTCACAAGCGAAACCCACCATGACTAGTATCGAAAGCAACACCTTCCCACGTACCATTGCAGATCCCTCCATCACAAAACCTCTGTGTGTGTGTGAAAAGTACACTCTTTCGTAAGTTTTATATGATTCAGACAATGAGAAACGTCTGTCTGGTCCAACGATGACAGTTTTTCATAGCATGCTGCTTTAGGGTAACTTCCTTTTATGGCAGAACATGGCTATTGACTTATTTGGGAAACAGAGTAAAAGACGTTCTTTGACTTAAAATTGAGAATCCATCTACTTAAGGTAAAACCGATTCTTCTTGTCCAAATATATTCTCCAATTAAGGTAATACTTTAATAGCATTTTCACTTATTTCGGCAAGATATCTAGACCAAATTTGTCATGTAGGATACATCTTGCAATCTCGAGTAGATGATATTCCCCGTCTGTAATTGCGAGGGAAAATTACCAATTCAGTCCTCAATCTATTGCATTTGTGCCAATTCAGTCTTAAACCTTTCAATTTGGCCAATTCAGTTCTAAACATTTTGCAAACCAGCCAATTCAGTCCTTTTGGCTGGCTGGCGTTGACGTGGCCGCCGGCCGGCATCCACGTGGCAATATTTTAATATTTTTTTTTTATTTTCGAATTTTTTTTTTCTTTTCCTTCTCCCCCTGGCTTGTCCGGCCAGGGGGAGGCTCGCCGGCGAGGGCCCAGCTCCGGCAAGGCGAGCTGGGCCCTCGCCGCCGCTGGGCGAAGCTCTCCCAGCCAAGGCGAGCTCCGCCTCGCCAGTAGCTGGGCGAGCTCGCCCCGCGGCGGCGAGGCGGAGCTCGCCATGGCTGGGCGAGCCCCGCCTCGCCAGATCTGGGCGAGGCGGAGCTCGCCTTGGTTGGGCGAGCCCCGCCTCGCCGGAGCTGGGCGAGCTTTGCCCTCGCCCGGATCCGGCGAGGCGGAGCTCGCCATGGCGGGCGAGCTCCGCCTTGCCGGAGCCGGGCGAGGCGAGGCTAGCCCACCGGCGGCGAGGCGGAGCTCGCCTTGGCTGGGCGAGCTCCGCCCTCGCCCAGCGGCGACGAGGGCCCAGCTCACCTCACCAGAGCTGGGCCCTCGCCGGCGAGCCTCCCCCCTGGCCGGACAGGCCAGGGGGGAGAGAAGGAAAAAAAAAAATTCGAAAATAATAATAAAAAATATTAAAATATTGCCACGTGGACGCCGGCCGGCGCCACATCAGCCGGCCGGCGGCCACGTCAGCGCCGGCCGGCCAAAAGGACTGAATTGGCTGGTTTGCAAAAGGTTTAGGACTGAATTGGCCAAATTGAAAGGTTTAGGACTGAATTGGCACAAATGCAATAGGTTAAGGACTGAATTGGTAATTTTCCCGTGATTGCGAGGACCCTCATAGTATCACCCAAGTCAAAACTTTAATAGCATTTTCACTCGTTCCGGAAAGATATCTAGATCGAATTTTTGATGCAATATACATCTTGCAATCTCAAGCAGATGACATTCCCCGTCTGTAATTGCGGGGACAGTCGAATGTTCCAATTCACCGTCTCCAATTACCTCTTCAACTATAAATGCATTCCTTCAAATTGAAGTGCCTAGGAACATAAGCAGACACTTAACTACTTTCAATAGCAAATGAAGGTGTTCTAGTCCTGCAAATTTAACTTACGTACTGAAATTCTTGGGACAGCGGAAATCATATGAATTGCACATGAACTCGTGGACGAACAAAACTCGGACCGAAGCGGGGACAGTCAGCAAGGTATTTGAAAGACGCTTCTGATATTTAAGCTCATCAAAGTTAATCAGCTTCGATAATATGCTTCCGCTGTATAAGCACCTCCGACTTCTATCAGAATCTGATGAGCACCAGCATAAACTAAACGACTGTAAAAATCGTGAGACAGATTTACACGACGACTGAGAAAAAGAATAATGTTTACACTTCATTCTCAAGCAAAAGAAAAGCTATAGCTATCTCAGAGTTATGATACAGTGAGTCAAAACTGTCTATTGGTATCCTTCGTAGTTGGCGGGAAATACTCTCTCTAAGAAACTGATAAACCTCTTAGCATAGAGTTTGGGTTCAACAGCAGAAATCGACAGAGGATCAAACTGCAGTGACTTATAAGCATGCTCCATCTTTTTCTTCAGATTATATTCCTGCAATATGTCAATAATGCCCATATACAGAACTACGTCATAAACCTCAAGAAGTTCAATTTCTGCTGAATCAACCTCATCTTGTATAAGCTTGTGGTTGGCTTGAGCTGGCATGTTAACTCCCAGCTGCACACGCAACCTATGTCAAAAATCAAGCACTTTAGCTATAAGCCTGCTGCTTTGCCATTATAGCCACTCTGTTGGAATAAAGACTACCCAATGACAGGGAAATTAACCAGAACCAAGCAGGAGAGAATAAAAGGAAGATGCACTACGTTATGGACATGATAGAAGAACACAAAGCAGCTTATGATGAACATATCAATAGCAGTAACAAGAGCAATTGATTGAAATAAAGGAAAAGAATGACAATATGCAGAGACATAGTCAGGCCAAAAAATTTGATGCAGAAAAGAGTATCCTTCAAAGAAATGAGCAGGAATAGGATGAGTAATTTTCATATCAATGCACTAGCTGCCTGTAGTCTTCAATTGCATGCTATTCCCCATGAACTTAGGGGCATCGACCGCTTTGCAAGCAATTTCATGATCCCAACTGGAAATTAATAAAGAACAACAAAGGGTGCATAGGAGCTTGAGAATAAATTCCAGGACCTGAATTTCCAACAACACTTAGATTGGATTAAGACAAGCTAAAAGCAGAAATGTCAGAGCAGAGTGGGATGTTATTTGGACATCAATTACAAGCCAAGGGCAACCAGTACGGTGGGCACTAACAGGAGCAATGCATGAAAACCGGAATGGTTGCCAAATCAAACTGCAACGAGGAGTTTATTCCCAACACATTCTGGAAATAAGGATTTTTTTTTTTGGTCGAAAGAAATAAGGATTTGAATGGCCTTAATTTATGTCAAAATAAAACAGTGAGAATTTCATAAAAAGGGAAGCTCGTTGGGTAGAAGCTACCTTGCAGTACCAGGAAGTAAAAGATCAACTTCCTTGTCACCCACAGAAAATGCTCTCAGAGTACTTCCTCTGCTATGGGGACCAGGTGTTGTGCTAACACAGTTCGGTTCATGTGTAACCAGAAGTAGACCCTTCGAAGGTATCAGGAGTTCCCCTTGTGATGTTGGACCTAGAAGAAAATGAATGTGAGCTGCATACTATCTGATGATGCAAAAATCGAAGCTGAGATACTGTGATAGATGTTCATGCAAAATAGTGATATTTAGGTGAGGCAATCAAGAGCGATCTATCATAAGATATCTTCAAGGTAAAAAAATGTAAATCTTAACAAATAAGAATCAGTCTCACATCAAGACATTTCAGCTAACATAACCTGCTCAAGACAGTCTGGTTCACCATGTTATCCTAGGAAGAACTTCAGTCACAAAGCCTTACGTGCTGAACTGTGCACCTCTCAAAGCTTCTATCCTTGAGGTTTTGAAAAAAAATTCCCGCACTAATTCAACAGGAAATAAGCATCTCTGACATGTATTTCAGCGAGATTCATGCAATGCAACTTCAGTTGCAGCTTTTCATCCAACATTCCCTCATCAGTCCGCTCAACTCATAAAGAATGTTATAAACATGTTTGGATAGACTTTTACTTTTCGATTTTCGCTTAATCTAAATCTTGTGACAAACACACTTCGCTTTTTAAAAGCCTGAAACACCTGAAACTTCCACAATTTATGAATACTAATGCGTAGATTTATGTATAATTATTTAATAATATTTTGAAATGTAGATAATGTTTAAGTTTGGAGAGAAAGCAAAAGGTTGTTTTTTACTGTTTCAAAAACACAAACAAACTGTATCATAACTAAAAAACTACATGGCCCGGAAAAAGACAAGAATCAGAATCGATCTGTCATTCCCAGACTAAGATTGCCCACGCCGAGTTTTCACATTAATTATGAATAATAGGGTGATGATACGCAACAAACAAAAATCAATCACCAAATGCATCCAGAAGCCCCATAAAAATTCATATCATCCAAGCAACAGAACAATACAACAACTACAAAATCAACCCATGACTTGACATGAAAAGGTGTTAAAGGCTCAGGCAAAGAAACATCATGTATTACAAATTCTGACAGGAGCCCATCGAAGCATTGTTTGCAAGCTTGCTAGAATTAGCAACGTTAATTGATAGCAAATGGTAATACCAACCATTGCAAGTGGAAGAACTCTCTTCATTCACCATTGCATTGCCTGGATTTAAGAGGGCCTTCAATTGCTCAGGGGCTCTAAAATGCAATCCCAGCAAAAGGCTATAATCGATGATTTGTTGAGATTCCAAAAACATGCAGTCTAGCGAAATTTGTCTGCACATAAAAGAATCCTGCTTGTTGATTAGAAAAAACATGAAGTCACCTAGATCTAACTGAGACTGCAATTTTGTCCCACCATTAAGTCCCAAAACTTTATGCAAAAGAAAATGTTAAACCTAGTTAGTTAGGCACTAAGAACATAAAACAGAGCTCAGAATGTTTAGAGACGAACAACAAAGCTGCAAAAAGTGGATATAACCTAAACATAAAAAATCAGAAAGGGAATCGCCAATCATCCTAAGTGTATGCTTAGTGAGAAGGGAATCTACCTGTTTATCCAAAAAAAAATAAGTGAAAAACCAAATACAAGGGAATGTATCTAAAACAGAAGCTCACACAACAACTGAAAATCCTCCAAACATATCAGTTTTTAATCATAAGGAAGTGAGACATTACTTTATACCTTGACTATAATTTATGCCAGGTCAGGAGTATCCACATAAACTCCGAACATTTAATCAACTTCGTTGAAGTCTTTGCATAGAGAGTGTACATTTGACCAATCAGCATAGTACATTCAATGACACTCTCACCTCACTTATAGGATGCCAAAATCTAGAAGTGAATGCAGCAAGAAAAGGGTATTAGTTAAGAATATCCACAGAGCCTGATACAGGAGGCAAACAAATTTCTAAACATGACTATTGTTCATACCTAACTTGGCTTTGACCAAACATAAAACCCTTAAAAGGAGAGACCTCAAATTCCAAGCTTCCAACTGAACTTTGGGGATAAAATACACAAGGTTTGTGCATTGTCAAGGATTAAGATCAAGTTGGTTAAGATTATGAATTATTCCCTCATTTATCAATGATTGTCAGAGCACTATCATCATCCTCTATACACAGACTACTCGACTCATACTATATAACAAGCTAATTATATGCGTATAGAAGAGGACAACCAAGTCATGAACAGAATGTATTAAACCCTAAAATTATTCTTGTATCCATGTCTATGCTACTATGGCCATAGATGATCTTCAAACTTCAAAGGGAGGATTGCATTAAATGCAAAAAGAAAAAAGAACTTAAAGGTGATTGACAGTGTTTTTTTTTTTTGGTCAGGATTGACAGTGTTTATGCTATGCTATTATGCCCAAACATGTTACTTTTCTTCCTGAAATATAGCGTTAAAATGCAAAATTCAATAAATTACTAGAAATTAAACTTAACAACCCCAAATTTCATAAAATCAATGTCTGCACTGACTTCCACTTACTAATACAACCTGAGATGATCATGTGTGGGGGCTAGCTCATTTCAATTTTCTAACAGTTGGAAGGGTTTAGTATTTTACAGTCATTTGTTAATGTCAACCTGGGCCTGTTGGGCCAAAATTTACCAATTTGTGGGACTCCCAATCAGAGTAGGCATCAGTAATAATGAGGATGCATCTTTGTTTCTTTCTTTCCTTTTCATTTTGACAAACCACAACCTAACTGTTAAGGTAGAACATGTAAATAATGGCAGTCATTGACCAATACAATAGCAAATCAGTACTTACTTGAAAAGTGCCTCTCGCAATAATTTGTCCATATGAAACTCATAAGCAAGATCAAGATCTTTCAATGTGGTATTCTCATTAATTTTGTCTTTGTGTGTAAATCTTCCCAAAGATGAACCCTTCAGATCGTAACGTCGATGAATTCGCAATTCAGTGCAGAACATGTTCCCCATAACCACAAACCTTACCTGGAAACAGGAACATGAAGTTAAATGGACATAGACCTACATGCATAAGGGGTAGAGTTAATAATGACAAGTTACTGCAACCTAGATTGTGAGTACCTTCCTTCCACCCTTCAGCTTTATGCGATGGAGACCAAAAAATTTGGTAATAAGAGTATTTTCATGATTTCCTACATGACGGTAATAGTGCGGCAGCATCTTCAGAAGAACCTATCCAGCAATAAAAGAAACCCGTATGTCAAGCTCCTACCTAACCTTCCCCTTGATAATTTCTGGTTTTGTTCCCTTTGATTAGTGATTACATGGATCAGTATCATGCTCAAAACACGTTCTTTTTCATCTTTATAATATCATGTCTAATAACAATGTTTTGTTTGTTATTTTCTTCTCTGATAGATAAGTGTAGAAGTTGATTTTATTTTCTTCATACGAGGGATGGAAATGTTATCTTTTGAAACTTGGAATCTGGACTAATCAGAACCTTTTTGTGGCCTATATCACTTCAAAGCTTCTAAGTTAGCAATTGGCAGTTTTATTTAAATGCTCAAGTTTATCAAGAAAACCTTAATATAGTATTATCTTCACTAGCTTATAAAAAGCCAACCTACAATGGCTTTATCAAGCAAAGATTTGATGTCCAGACGGCTAGATTAAGCATTAGGCTACTGATGTGGCAATGCAAATTCATTGATGAGGGACATAAATCACACAATCATGTGGAAATAAGTCCTTATTCAAAGCATAATATTTGTAATCAGAGTGTGGTTATAATGCTTTCCTGATAAAGCAGTGGATTGTACAAAATAAACCATCCCAGCAGCACATTTTATTCTATGATATATGCCATGAGTTAAGGGTCATATGACAAATTGATGATATAGCAAAGAATTTATAAATAAACTTTGCTCCTCAAACCTTCAGCTCGGACTTTTTCAATGTCTTGATCACAAATCTACCGTCATGAGAGAGATAAAAAATGCTGCCACTTTTTCCTGGAGAAGACAGTTCAGTAAGACCATCGTCACCACAAATGGACATCATGTACTCAGCAGCATCTAGCTTGAACATCTCCCTCAAATTCCTGAGATATAATTTGGAGATTACCGAAAGAACTATTTAAAATGAAGTTATAAGCATTTAAAGTACAACGAGATGTTTATTAGTATTTGAACGTAACAATGCAGGTGATGGACTGGTGATAACTTCAACTTTTGGCCCTGTCAAAGAACACATATAGTACTGGCTAATAAGCAATTCTCTCATCTAAGTATGAATATCAATATCACAAGTGTCCTGTACGCTAGGCTCTATTTCATCGGATATAAACTTCATGTCTCAATTTATATGGTGCAGACATCTGATAAAGCTGTACTTATTCAAGTAAAACAGTAGGAAAAAAAAGGAGAGTTTTAACATTTTGATTAAAAAAAAAGCTAATAAATACCACCCAGAAGAAAAATGCAATTGTTGTTCCATATATCTCAGATTTGAGCGAAAACTTTCTAGTTTCAAGCTGGAAAAGTAAACTATTTGGTTGGGAGTTTTTTTCTGGCTCCCCAGATTGTCTCAATAAATTTATGAGACCTATAATTTTACCAATTACCTTGACCTTCCCATTGTGTAAGTAGAATACCATCATCTAAATAATTACCGCCTTGTAGGTTAATATACTGTTGCCTTTAAATAAAGAAATATAACTCAAGTTGATCTACAATTTCTAATAATTTGAAAGCCAAGCCGAAGAAAAGATATTCTAGCTTGTCTATTCCCTTATTGAACAAATAAGCTTACAAAGACGATCAGCTAATTTGATCAATTATGTTCAATTACTACCCATTATCAACATCGATTTTATCTAATACTTCACGATCTCCCAACTAAACAATTAAGATATATATGTAACAGAAACAGATTTCATGAAGGGCAACTCCACATTACCCTCCCGCGGCAAAATTCTGAGAAACCCCACTATGGGAGGTCCTTGTATTTCAAATTGGTAAAACTAAAAAATTCTTGCAATTTGATTATCCGACAAATTCAAGTGCAAAAAAAAACATCTCATACAACTTCACATTCGCATTGTTGTTCACAAGAGCTTAAGTGCTTGACCAATTCTAACAAATCAGAGAAACATCAACTTAGACCTTAATTACCAAACTGCAGTAACCCTTCTACTGAAGGATGCAGTTTCCACACAAATCCAATAACACAGGAAGGATGCTTACTTTTAGCAAGTGCATAATATTGATGCATACCTGAAAACCATCGGGCAGTAGTCTTTCCAATAGAAATCAATGGAATAATGCGGAGGCGTAAACTGAGAGCCCTTTTTAGGGAAATACATCCTTATCCTGGCTCGCTCTCCAAAATCGGAAGACCGAACTTCACGCCTGGGGACTGGTGTGATCTTGCCGACAGTGTATCTAGGGGTTCCAATTTAAACCAAGAAGGTCGAATAAGAAGGTAAAGCAAACTTGAAGCAAGCCTTATGAAAGGATAGACAATAAAAGCTTCAAAATTTTATTTTACATTAATTGACCGAATATGGTAAAATCGAAATACCAACAAATACTTTACCTCAGCAAATGTCAAATCAGCACAGCATAACCCTACCAACAAAGGAAAACTAAGCACAGCAAATGATAGGCAGCTACTCCACTTCTCATGATTTGTAGTTAGAAAAGTGATTAAGGAGCACTAAGGTTTTTTATGCCATCTTCAGCACAACCACTATGCTAAAATGTCAAGCTTTCAGGCATTATAATCAGCTTTCACCGCAAGCACTTGAGGGGGAGTGAAGAGCTCAACAAACATCTCTTCCCTTCCCTCATCTTGAAAGCAGAATTTAACTTTCCGATAGCGAACGTGATAATGAAAAAAATTTACTATCAAAGTATAACTATAAGAAGGACACAAAAATGGATTGCTATCTTCTATATGCTAAGTACGACAGTTAAGCTTTAAGTATCAATCACCTGATACCCAGTTGCAGATTAAGCTTCAAATAGTAGCTCCGGTCGCCTAGAGGCATATCCATGCATGGCCTCTTTTTTGACTCTTTCCCATGAAATTTATTTTTCTGTTTAGTTTTGTGCATCAGTTCTTCATAATTTCTAATTCTCTCTAAAATCAGGACTCCTTGCATGTATTCACGTTCATAAACTAAAGAACTGCCATCCTGCATTTTATCTTGTCTCTCCTCGGGGACTTCTGGAACTTGAGATGATGACTCCTGAGAAACAAGTTCCCTCTCAGGATCTAAAAGACTCCAGTTTTCATCTAAAGACATAGCCCTACTTGAAATTCGACCTGAATTTCTCAATAGTCCACCCATCGAAACTTTTTCAGAATAACTCCGATTGATGAACGTTTTTGGAGCCGTAGATTCCTCAAAAGCCAAAGACGAACTGTGAGGTGACAAATTTTTTCCCTTGTCGTTGTAACCCCCACTACACCATTTTTTTAGAGATGGATGCTTGCTTCCAGCGGGATAATATGTTCCTTTCCCATCCTTTAGACCCCTACTCCATGTTCCGAAATAATAAGCCCCATCCGCAAATCTGTATATTCCTGACCCATGTCTTAACCCATTCAACCAAAAGCCATTGTAGAGATCACCGTTTACCCATTTCATTATCCCTCTGCCCCACATTTTACCAACTTTCCAGTTTCCAACATAAGTATTGCCACTATTCCAGGTATACCTACCGCTGCCTTCGTGTACCCCTTCTTTCCACATACCTTCATACATGTCTGAATTGCCGTACTCCTTCCTTCCAACACCATGCTGAATATTCATCCTCCAGGCTCCTGTATAAACAGATCCATCACGTTCAGTAAAGGTCCCATGTCCATGAAGATAACCCCCAGAGATATCACCCTCGTACCTCACTCCAGATGGCCAAAAGATTTTCCCTTTCCCAGTCATTTTCCCTAACTCCCAGTCACCCTCATAAACTGTTTGATCCAACCAAGTATATCTTCCCTTCCCGTGGGGAAGTGTTCCCTTGAAATCACCATAGTATACATCTCCATTGGATAAAACCTTTTGGTCCAGCCTGTAAAGCATCATGAGTTCCCATGTTAAAGATATACTAGCACATATTCACAGCCTTTAACTGTTTCCATTTAAATAAATCTAAGCTAGCAGTAATGTGTATTAACTTTTAACTACATAACTAATTCTATCAGGACACATTCTTCTCTAGTCTTGGCACAAAGTTATGCTCCGGGGTGAAGTTTTCAAGGGAAGGTGACAGACAAAATGAGGCATTAAATAGAGTCTAAGGGAAAAAGGTTATTCTTACAACTAGCTAGGACTAGACCATAAAAAGATGGAGATGATAACGTGATTTTCCTAAGCTGCAAGCTATCATATCGATCTTATTACCCACAAGAAGAAGAACGCAAAAGGCATTTACTAACAAAACTTACCCTTCATTGTTCTCCATGGGGCTTGGATAATACCAGGTCTATCATACACAGATGACACAACAGGATAATCCCATCTGCTCCTTTTTGCTTCGAGCAAATAAGTTGGGCATACGGAAACTGTCAGGTGTGCCTACACAAAAAGGCCACACTCGTTTTAAGATGCTAACATGCATGCTAATGTTAACATTACCCACATTTGCATATCCTACAACAACATAAGAATATGGTACCAAATCTTCACGATGCTAGCACCTGCCATGATCTAACATCTGTCCAACTAAACAATTCTTTTGGCTGCAAAACATATGACGCTTCCTTCAGCCATCATGACAGCCTCCTCCCACTCGAGCCAAACACTCCTTGTCAAAGAATAAGCTGTGCCAAAGTTACCATATACCAACCACACTACAACCAAGACTACGCACAATCCTCCACCACTGTCCCGTATTCATGAAACTAAAACGAAAGCTTACATACTAATATCCATCTTCAAGCAACTTATTGCAACTTTATATAATGAGAAGACTGCAAACTATTTCGGCCTCACTTTTCCACTGGGATCCACATTACCAAAACCCACCAAGGAAACAAACAAAAAAAGAAAATAAGGCGGCGATGAAAGCAAGCTGATAAAGATTCACTCAAATCCGAACAGGACCGTTCGAATGGCCTGTTGACATTACACCGCCACTCAAGGATCCATTTTTTTGGGGCACGAGCTAGGACTGTACAATCAAGAACCGGTGCAGTCCCGGCAAAAGGAAGAAGAAAGCAGGGAAAAAGTTTCTACCCCCACAAATCGAACAGAGCGACGAGCACGAACGCTCCTCACAGATGACAGAAATGGGGCTTATTTGCTCTCTCGCGAACGGAACAATCGTCGGAACAAGATGCTCGGACAAATAAAAACGGAAACTTTAATTAAAAGTCCACTCCGAGCTCAACAAGTCGATGCTTTTCTCCAAAGCCGACAACGTCCCAAGATCCTTCGCTTGCTTTGCCACTCCGCCCCTTTCCCTTTCTCTCTCTCTCTCTCTCTCTCTCTCTCTGCAGAATGCTTTCTCGTTTTCTATTCAGTCTCCGCTGGAGAACAAGAATCAAACAGTGAGCACGGGGGGGGGTAGGAGGACGAGGACGAGGACGAGGACGACATCATCAATCACTGTTGCCACACGTCAGACAGAGACCCCCGCGTGGCCCCACCACCTGCTCTGGCCCGAGATTCTGATCCGACGGTAGACAGCGAGGGAATATCAGTGGGGCCCCAGCGGGAATGGCCGTAATTGGGCCGGGCGCACAGGAAAGATTCGGACGAAGCCGTAGGGGATCGCTTTTGCGGTGTGGGAGTGGCGGGCGTCTGGAAGGGCATAAAGCGAGAAGAAGATGATGACGAGTTAAAGAAAGGTATAATAATAATAATAATAATAATTATTATTATTAAGAAACCAAAAAAGGATTATTTGATGATTATAAACAGCTCACATTACGTGGAATATCTTGTTGCTTTCCCTCCGGCCACGAGGTCACGTGGGGAAAATTCAAATAACGTGTCTTGATTAATTATGTGTCTCCTCTCTTCATAATTATATAATTTCTAGTGATCTTTTGGGGAAAAAAATTGTAATTTTATTCTTATTCGGTAACGCAAGAGATGTAAAATGTCGATGCGGTAAATTATAGTGCGTACATTAGTGAGTCGCGTTGAAAGATCTAGAGAGAGATAATTGCACATATTTTTTGTGACGTATTTTTAAAGCATAGACATGAAAGTCAATTGCGCATTGGCTGACTTATAATCAAAGTTGTGAGAGTCTCATTGATTGATTGATTGATTGATTTTTTTCAAGGACTCATCTTATGTAATCACTTTATGAGTTGCGTTTCTCACGGATTTTTCATATGAGTCGAAGCTCGACGTGGTGACTTGAGAGAGGAAAAGCCGACATGTCCGATTGCGATCTCTAATTGACTTAGGCGGACGTCCCATTTTTCATCGGAATCAATTTACAGGGTATACACTATGTGCACCATCGGAAAAGATAATTGGGAATAAATCGAGCATGTCCTTTTTTATTTTTTGGTCGAAAAGCATGTCCTAATTCAAAGGGTCATATTCAAAATATTCCGGCAGCGTAACATGGACTTTCAGCTTTTGGAATTCGGAAGGTTCTGATTCTTCGCAACTTTAGGCCCATCATGTCACAGTACATCACCATTGAATTCAACCATCCAAGCCAGGTACGTGGTTAAAGCAAACAAAAAAAGAAAAACTTGAGCTCATAGAGGAGTTGATACATCTGCAGAATTTACAAAGGGGCTTGCAAGAATATCTTGACGCTTCTAAAATGTGGAAGTTTATGGACCCGCGCTATAAAGAAGTCACATTTCGTACGCCCAAGGGTAACGTTAGAATCTAATCTTCACAAAGTAGAAGAACAAAAGAATCGTAAAAAGGTAAGCTTTAGCGTTTGATTTGATGAGCCAGGATCGTTGAATAGCATACAAGTTCCATAAGAATTGCAAGAATGCCCTGGAGATGAGAGCAAAGGGAAAGAAAGAAGTGGTGATTCTCATCTTTGTTATTACATGACAAGAGCAATTTGTTTTTCTTGATTTGGAGCAAAGGTTCATCCAAATCAATCCTGCCCCCAATAGGGTTCCTGTTTATCTTCTAAATAGGACCAGTCATTGATCGTAGTTACACTCACGAGAATTTGTTGACACAGAGACACATGTAGACTTCTTCCGAGAAATCCTAACAACCGGGTCTTGCAATCTCATGACCTCGAACCACGGCTAAAACCTGCAATGTTTCACTAGTCATTGGTTCTTCCGAAGATAGTATGATTGCAGAGGCTACGATGCTGTGTCCGATTAGTGATTCCGCCCAATGGTGCAGAAGAACTACCAAATGATTAAGCTAAAACAGTCTTTACAAAACTATTACAGCATTGGGTTATTTGAACTTCTGAAACAATTACATATTGCCAACTCGTCGCTACTTTGGCAGTCAGTTCATGTCGATGTCATTCACATACAGAACAAATGTAAGACAAAAAGAAATACCATGGTTCTACCTATTCTCTGTGAAAAAAACACATAATTTGACTTTAGAAATGAAGGAAATTGGAGATCTAAAGATAATTTTGTCCATGAATGTAGATTTTACCTCACTCATGGAGATTCTGCGATTTAAATCTTGCAGGCAGAGCAAAGCAGCTTGAGCCATATGGTGGATTAATCTATCATCAGTAGTATCTGTCAGTCTCGGATCTCTGACTTCACTCAGAGAACCTTTTTCTATTGCCGGTAAAGCCTGGTTTCCAACAAAACAAAGCATAAATAGAGATTAAGCCTGGTTTCTTGTTTCAGATGTCTTTGTGTATAAATAGACAAAAGCAACAGGATTAGAAGATTAAGTCAGGCTCTTTAATCTGGAAAGATAATGAAAAAGCCATCCCCTCCATAATACTAAAGTCTACTTAGACTCTTCTTTCTTAAGGAAAAATGTGATTATCAGCACAAATTACCAGAAAGTATGACGAAAATTAAAAATTTGTCAACATTATGCCAAGGAGCAAGAAAATATCTATTTGCCTGAAGCAGCTCAACCATCTCACCCAGTCAATGAGATCCTCCTTGTCGGGGTCCAGAGAACATCGGGCACTCCTTCCTGTTATGAGCTCCAACAGGAAAATCCCATAGTCATGCACATCGATAGCAATGCCATCATCTTCTTGCAAGTTCAGGCAGCTTCAAACAACCAAAAGTAATATATTAAACGCTAGACTGCGTGGTCACCCAACGACCTCTATGTGATTGTTGATATACAAGTGCTACATCAATAACCCCAAGAAAGTATTAGAGACTAAAATGCTTTTACAAGGACACTTACTGAGTCAATGATTGATTATCTCCGGGAGAACCGTCCTTGAGGCACTTGGCAGTCATGAAGTTTGCAAGCTTGAAGAGGAAAAAAGTAATGTGTCTATGACTAATAAAAATTGTTGGGAGAGAAACAGACCTTTTAAAACAGCTTCTGAAACTTATCTAGTCTCATTGCAAGTTCAGCCCATGTCAGTTACAATTGAGTGGAAGCCAGTGCTCAACTTACTGAATAATGGTACTACTCACCATTGCAGAGCCACCAAGAGGATAGATGACATTACTGGAACAGACAGAGAGATGCACGATCAGTCCATCAACACATTGCTCGTGAAGATAGCGTAAACATGCACCTATTTCCACCGCTATGTACCATCTTGCTTTCCATAGTATTTTTTCGGCCAAATCGTCATCTAAATCAAGTAGAATTAGAGCATATGTAAGACTCACGGGGAACACAGGCTTTCAAACCTGCAATTAAGGAAAAAAAAGAAAAGAGATGTGTGGAATATAATCTCATCTATCTGTAGCAAGATCAATAGGCATTACAAAAGCCTTTTAAAAGCAGTGATGGGAGAATCTCAGATAAGTGATCTCATCAGCTATCACTCTCACGGTTCAAAATTCAAACGGAAGCTCTACAGCTTATTAGAGAGCAAAAACAGACAAAGGGGACAGAAACCATAGCCAAGCTGGGCCGGCTGCATAGTTACTCTTACAGTGTGTCAAAATAGAATTGTCTATTGGCTGCAATTATGCTCAATTCAGGTGTAGACTACAGAAAACATAACGTGCACTGATAGAAATAGTACATCCAAATCAAGGGAAAAAACTGATTTAACAGAGCAGAAGTAAATACATAATCAGCCATTGCCACCCTTACTTGATCCTCGTACAGAGCCAGAGACTGAAGTTCCTTAGCTAAATTTTCCAATGTTTTGCCAACTCCATAATCGCCGACGTCACTATGGTTACATGCTCTCATCAAACAGGAATTTGGACTATTGGAGATGGGGAGCCATGCAAGCAATTATAATCATTAAACAAGGCCACAAAGTTCTAAAGCACATGCACATGCCAAAAAGTTTTACAAGAGCAAGAAATAATTAGAGTGAGGAATACGCTCTTACTTTGCAAGTTGATTTCTAAAGTACCCATAAAGGGGAAGTCGAAGAGCAAGAACATGGAAGAACCCGTGAAGCAGTACCCAACAATATTCAAGATATTCCGGTGGCGTACACGGGAAAGGATCCTCAGCATCGACCAAAAACGCTCATCATTTTGCGAGAAACAATTTACCAGGACAGGTGTTTCCTGAAATTGTCCTTGATACACTTTTACATTATCTTGCGTTTGCACAATATTCTCCTCGGAAAAACCACTGGTTATCACTTCAAGCTCACTCTGAGTAAAATATCGAGGAAAGCCAGTTCTCCATGCGAGTGGGTACCAACAGCAGGTCTTAGGTGGAGGTGTTATGGACTTCTCTTCCTGGTCATCTGTAATAGGTTCATTGGAGAGAAGTGCATCATCAACCCGTCTATGCTTCAAAGAACTTTTCTGCAGGATTACTTTCGATGGCATTAAAGTCACCACATCTTTGCCCTTGACTAGCGCAAGATTGCAGCACACATGCGCATATATGTAGGTTTTGTCTTTCTTGAGATGGCTGTCAACAGTGAGAAGAAACAAGCTTGACAAATCAGCTGAGGTATTTCAATGAAATACGTAAATCGTTGCACAAGACGAAATAGCAAATAAGCAGATCATAAAAATACTGTGGAAACCAACATTCTTCAAAGGCTGAGATAATTCCTTTTTTGAGGAGTATATACAACATCAGTCGCAAGACAATTTGGAATGATCCTAATCTTCAGCTTAAGAGAGAGAAAGCATCGAGAGAGACCTGTCTAAGATGATCCAACAAGTATTACAGCTCTGTGCTTCGTCAACTGTTACTTTTCTTGGACATAATCCAGCAGCAATTTTACTTTCCAATTTCACCTGCACAAGGAAAGCTCTATGCCTACTCAGTGGCGTTTTCTTCTTACTGCAAATTAAATTGTCTCTAACCTCATTTTTCTTGCAGTGCCGATAAAATGGCTGGAGACAACTCTTGTATTCATCCCTCTTTCTGGCAATCTCTTCCTCAAGCTCCGTGGGATCCACTTCCCCTTCTCCTAAGCGCTCTAGTTTTTCCCCTGCAAAAATTATTGACTATGTTTACCTTACTGAGGGAACGTGAAGATATAATGTTGTTCTGCGACCTTCAAAACCTTACAATATTAATGGAACAACAGGAACGACGTCGAGGATATCAATGAATGACACCAGGACACATACACTTCTTTTAGTCCTTCTTAACAGTTTAAGCTGCTTGTGGGTGATCGACAATGCACCCAGTTTAAACACCTTGAAAATTTAAATTGGTCAGATTTCGATGATAAAAACATGGTTATGGGACTAAGGGATAGTTTTTTCCATAAAAACAAAAAGGCAGACCAGAACTTTTTTGTGCAGGTGAGAGGTAGGTGATTCCAGCATCGCAAAAGAGAAATTCTTCCGCAGTGTAATTGGGCCGCTGAAATGGTGTTGGACAAAAAATCACGTGGAGAGCTAAAACTACGCAAATTATCTCAAACCAATATGCATTATACGTAAATTAAGGGTGTGGTTACTGGTTACCCATGTGAAAAGGAAAGCAGGAAGCTCGCTTGCCAATCTCGCAGAGGAGGCCAAGAACAAGAACAGTGTGCCCTCGTCGGGCGACGTGCCTGAGAGCCCATTCAATAGCATGGACGTTCCCTCTGCTCCTGTTGGCGTCCATCACCACCATCACCGTTTCCCCAGGAGACGAAGAATCGTCGGCTTCCAAACCCATCTTGTTGGAATCGATCTTCTCTGTTCCTCTGGACACACACTCGTCGTCGGCTTAGGATGGGGAATTCGTGTAATTTGAGAAGGGAAATTCATAGTTTAACTCGCCTAATAGAAACTAAGAGAGAGTGAGAACCAAGGTTTTCTCCACTTCGATATGGACCAAGAATTCTTGCTCTGTTAATTTCAAGAACGATGACACATTCTCAATATGACAGAAATGAGGGAGCCTTGGCAACCTTCGCGTTGGCAAAGACAAAAAGATGGGTGCTTTGTCCGTTCTGCTTCGAGGCAGTGGGAATAGGGACAAGAAGAAGACTCCACAAAATATTTCATGGTAGCCTTTCAACTTCTTGGCTTTTCAACTTCCTGTGAAAAGAAGTCTCTTCGCTTTACTACTCTCGGCCCGCATTTCTTACTTGAATTTCGCTAACTGCGTCAAGTAGCTACGTATTATGGTGGTTATGAACTTATTCGTGCCCATATTGAGGCTTGTAAAAATGAGATCGCAATGGACAAGTATGATCACACTGATTATCCAAGGAGCGGTACCAGCAAGTCAGATCACTTGGCCGAAAATAGGAACCAACAACTTACTGCGGCAGACTTCACTTTCTTGCCACACGAAGGACATTAAAATGCTAGCAAGGGAGTCGACTTGTATTTGAAACACATAAATCGGGTCATCGAGTTGCCCAGGCATCCAATGCATTAGCATAAGTTTACTGAACACCGACATAATCTTTATGAACATTTTCCTTAGTAGAATAACTATTGGCAAAAGTAATGCACGACTTACTGTAAGAGATGGGGAGGGAAATTGTACGCAAAGAGTCCCCGAGCAATCCTGGTGAACGCAGCCGATTATGGTACTCGGAAGACATCATTGATGTTCTGACAGAAAATTTGGTATGTCTCTCATGCAAAGTCCTCATTATTTCAGTCATTAACCGTTCTATTTCTTCTTAGAAAAAACCAAACAGAATGGCATTTGATTTCGTTGAGTAGGTTTCAGCATGCCAGTGAACCTTCTGACTAAGCCATGAATTTGCTTTTTAGGGAACAAATAAAGTGGAAGCCATAAAACTAGTTTTGCCTGAAACAGAAGAGGTATACTTGAATGCCAAAGCCTTCAAAAGGATGAGAAGGCTCAGAGTGCTCATAATTCATAATGCATATGTATCAGGAGACTTTGACCATCTCTCCAACAATTTGAGATGGGTTGATTGGGAGGGATATCCCTTACCGTCTCTGCCAGCCAATTTTCATCCAAAGAAACTTGTAGGCCTCTTCATGCCAAACAGCCACATCAAGGATTTGGGTCAAGGATACAAGGTTGAAAACTTACTTCTTTGAAGTTTTCTTCATTCATTTTAACAATGACTTTTGGAGCCAAGCTGATCCCTTTTTGTCTTTTTTGCTTATACAGATTTTTAAGAACTTAAAGCACATGAGTTTTGAAGGTTCTGGATTCCTGACAGAGATCCCTGACTTCTCTGTGCTCCCCAATCTTGAGTCCTTGATTCTCACTTGTTGCACGAGTTTACTTGAGGTTCGTGACTCCGTTGGCCTTCTTGACAGGCTTGTAACTTTGAACCTTGAATATTGCTATAATCTAAGGAAGCTTCCTACCAACCTGAAGTTGAAATCACTCCAGACTCTTCTTCTAACCCGCTGTAGAAGACTCGAAACATTTCCCAACAACCTCGAAAATATGGAATCTTTGAAGGAACTTCGTTTGTCCAAGATTGCGATAAAGGAACTACCTTCTTCGATAGGAAATCTTGTGGGGCTAGAAGTATTGTGTATATCTGGCTGCAAGAAGCTTAAAGGGCTTCCGAGTGGAATTCATAAGCTATTACATCTGAAGCATCTTCTACTACGTAATTGCTTCGAACTCGGTAAATTCCTAGATAAAACTGAAGATAAATGGCAAGCACCAGAAACTTCTGATCGTATAAATGTTTCGACAAGTTGCATGGAGAGCAGAGAGCATCTGGTGTCCGTTCTTCGTGAAACAAAAAGCTTTCCCTTTGGTACTTCCCTTGATGGAAAATCCTTGCCGGAGTTTCCTTTTCTCCAATCTCTGGACCTTCGAAACTGCAATCTAACAGAAGTCAACTTCCTCATGAATATGTCTTGCATTTCAACCTTGGAGGAATTAGAGTTCTCATGGAACAATTTTGTCAAGCTTCCTGCATGGATCAGCGAACTTGCCAACTTACGGAAAGTCGAGTTAAATTTCTGCAGGCAGCTACAAGAAGTACCTATTCTTCCACCAAGCATTGAAAGTGTAAGTGCCATAGACTGCGAGTCATTAGAAGTATTTTCACAGCTATCAAACATGGCCAACTCCCATACCAAGGATTTTCCCCATGTCAAATCTATCAACCTCACCAACTGCCAGAGACTGGCTGAGAATTTGGGCGACACTGTTGCAAACATTCTTTTGAACCAGGTAAATCCCTCTCTCTCTCTCTCTCTCTCTCTCTCTCTCTCTCTCTCTCACACACACACACACACACACACACACCACCTACTAGGCAGCATGTTAAAAATCTAAGGGGTTCTTCTTTTCAGGATCCCACATTCAGCCTTACTTTGCCAGGTTGTGAGATTCCAGAATGGTTCAAGTATCAAACCAAGAATGGTTTCTTCTATTTTCAAGTGCCTGAGCTTCTATATGCTGAGCTGGTTGGTTTTGCTCTATGTGCTGTTGTTTCTGAATCTTTTACCTGCGAGCTTCAAGGTACTATCAACGGGGAATTAGTAATTAAGGGTGTGGAGAACTTCATCTCACTGAAGTCAGATCATTTATGGTTGCTGTATTTTCCATGTCCAGTAGTTAAGGCCTGGGAAGGTTGCAATTACATAGAATTCTCCCTTGAAGCGATAGATGCTGTGGACTCTTCAATAGAAAAATTTATAACGAGATGCGGTCTTTTTCTGGAATTCAAACATGAGGAAAAATTAAACTGGACACTGGAAAACAACATCATATCAGCAACTCATTATCCAGAGGTAATTTATGATGAAGATAGTGAGGAATCAATGGGAAGTGCTGATAAGCACACTGAGGAGACCGATGCTGGGGGGGAATATGAGGATGATTCAGAGGACCAGCAAAGAGGATAGCAAGGCAAAGTCATCATGTTAAGTAGTCTACGATAATACTTCAGAATACAGTGAGGAAGGACTAGAAAAATGTACAAACAATGCTTCGTTGTGAAGAAGCGGAGAAATATTCTATAGCAGCAACATTCTATTAGCTTTCTCGATTGACTTTGTCATCTCAGTTCCAGTAAGAACTTGTCGAGACTCGAGATTCCATTTGAAAATCTTGTGTATACTGAATCTCCTCCTACCTCCCTGTTACGCATTCAATGCTATATGTCCATGTTAAAATGGCCAGTAGCACCTTGACTGTCATATACTGCATTCTGCATTCCAAATAATTTACAGAAGTTCTAACGCTAAGAAGAGGGCGACACTACTTTCCTGATAAGATCACTCCATCTTCTTGCACAGTGTGTCTCAAGCGTTGTTTACTTACTTTTAGGGATTCTTTTCTTCTCCTTTCCATTGCACATCAAATTAGACCAAGGACTTCTTTCTCATTTTGATTTAACTTGTTGGCATCCCAGTTAAACCGCTCTGAAAGTGAAGCTGGAGATTCATACCCATGTTGTTCACAAGGAATAATGATGACTAAGAGAACATAAACTTGTAGGCTTGTCACATTTTCCAGGAAGACAATATCTTTGTGGTTTCTTTCATCGAATTGGTTTCACCTTATGGGGAACTTCAGTACATATTATGAACCCTTTTGGCTAAAAAGCAAGATTCCTTCAATCACCTGGGAACCATTCGTTGAGGATAGATTTTTAGGTCAGCTCCTTGAATAGAGTCATCCCGCATTGAGCTACTTCAGTAAATAATGGGTCTTCAGGATAAACAGGTTATGAGACAGTAAAAACTCTAACGATGTGTTGAAGCATACTGGTTACGCGACAATAAAAGAGTCTCATGAGGTACATAATGCGTCCACAAAATCAAATTGATTATCGCCTTGTATTTAACTCAGGTACTTCAGTACAATCTCCAATAAGCGTCTCTCTGTTTAGGTGAGCACATCCGGGGAAACTTGGCATTTGTTTGGGAAAATGATTAAATATACAGTGTGGGCCCGGACTTTTAATTTATTAAACGTTATTCCTGAATTTTAGTCTAATGTGCAATAACGTCCTTGAACTTACAATTTGTTCAATGTGATCTCTCGACTTTTGGTACATGTTCAATTTAGTTCTTGAATTATATGAAAATGGGGTTAATTCCAAAAAAAAGCACCAACTTTAGGTCGAGGAACAATTCTGGCCCGAACTTTTTTTTGTTCCATAAAAAAACACCAACTTTAGGTCGAGGGACAATTCTGGCATGAACTTTTTTTTGTCCCATAAAAAAGCATCAACTTTAGGTCGAGGGACAATTCTGGCCCGAACTTTTTTTTGTCTCGTAAAAAAGCACAAACTTTCATTTAAATCCCAAATTTGGCCCCCCATTGACTTTCTGTCTGAAGTTACCCTTGTTTGAGAAAAAAAGTTATGGTGGTGAGCCTGACGAATCTCTTCCATGGCGTCTGTCGACGGACGGTGGTCTACAGCTTTAGATTACGACAAAACGACGAAGTTTGGCTAGAAAGATTTAATCTGGAGATATTTTTTACTTGCCGGTGAAGTGAAGGAGACGAACAGTTTCACCGTTATTCTTCAAGCTGTGGTTCAGAAAATAAGACAATGAATAATGCTTTAAATCCAGTCAGCAAGTCACGTGGATTTATTGCTAAGGTGGAATAGTCAAGTTGGAAAATCAATTGTTTTAAGTCAATAAGGGCCAGATTTGGGATTTAAGTGAAAGTTGGTGCTTTTTTACGGGCCAAAAAAAAGTTCAGGCCATAATTGTCCCTCGACCTAGAGTTGATGCTTTTTTATGGAACAAAAAAAAAGTTCTAGCCAAAATTATCCCTTGACCTAAAGCTGATGCTTTTTTTTTTGAATTAACCCTACGAAAATGTCCAATGTGATCACTAATTTAAGTTCAATGATAGTCCAAAGACTAGATTAAATATATACCAAAAATTCAGAAATTATATTAAATAAATTAAAAATACATGATCAATATTATATATTAAGATAAAACTTAGAAATCATAGTGAATAAATTAAAAATCCATATATCACGTTACATGTTTGGTCAAAGTAAATTCCGTGTCATTTTCCCTTTTTTCCTGCAGTGCTTTTCTTGGTTAAGTCCCGCACAGAGTCTGATGTGCTCGCTTTGGGATAGCCACAAAGGCAAAGCACCAGGTTCCCCCATATCCCCCAGTTCTCACTCTCTCCCGCTCCGTACTCATGGGAACTCCATACCCAACGCCCATCAACCCTGCGCAGACCCGCATCGGCTGGATCGGCATCGGCGTGATGGGAGCTTCCATGGCCGCTCGCTTGATCTCGGCCGGCTACGCTCTCACCATCTACTCTCGCAACCCTTCCAAAGCCCTCCCTCTCCAATCCCTTGGAGCCCTTCTCGTCGATTCCCCGCGTGATGTTGCTGCGCGCAGCGACGTTGTATTCACCATGGTGGGACATCCATCAGATGTTCGATCAATTGTCCTCGGCCCCAATGGCATTCTTTCCGGGTTGAACCCCGGAGGCGCGATCGTCGACACCACCAGCAGCCATCCCGACCTCGCCCGCGAGATCTTCAATGTTGCGCGAGGCCGGGATTGCTGGGCAATCGATGCGCCTGTGAGCGGGGGCGACATCGGCGCTAGAGATGGAAAGTTGGCTATTTTCGCCGGTGGTGATCATGGGGTTGTCGAGTGGCTGAGGCCCTTGTTTGACTGTATGGGTAAAGTCACTTACGTGGGGAAAGCTGGGTGTGGGCAGAGTTGCAAGATTGCTAATCAGATAATGGTGAGTGCTAATCTGTTGGGGTTGAGTGAAGGATTGGTTTTTGCGGAGCGGGCAGGGTTGGATGTGAGGCAGTTTGTAGATGCGGTCAGAGGCGGGGCCGCGGGCTCGATGGTGATGGAGTTGTTTGGGGATAGGATGATTGGGAAGGATTTCAGGCCGGGCGGGTTTGCGGAGTACATGGTGAAGGATTTGGGGATGGGTGTGGCTGTAGTGGAAGGAGGTAAGGATGAGAAGGTGGTTGTTTTGCCCGGAGCTGCACAGTGCAAGCAGCTGTTCTCCGGAATGGTGGCTAATGGAGATGGTCATCTGGGGACTCAAGGTCTTATTAGTTTTATTCAGAGGATCAATGGGATTGGCAGGTAAAATGAAGACATTATCCAAGTATGCGGCTTGCCTTATGGCCTCCGATCATATCCGACTTGTATTTCCAATAACCGCCTATGGTTAACTGATCTTGGGACATTGATGCATCCTATTTTTTAGTGTGGGATAGTGCTTGTTTGTGTATGTTGTGCAAAAAGGAAAGTGGAGTAATTTTTCATCTATAAAACTGTGTTTTTTGCGCGATGCCCCTGTAAATATAAGCAGGTGTAATCTTACTCCAGATGCAGAACGGTTGGCGATGAGCATGCTGGTTGCCAATCAAAAGGCATTGCCTTACTGCTCTTGAGTTTAAGAAACTTTTGCCAATAGTTATTCTACTAAGGAAAATGCTCATAAGGATTATGTCGGTGTTCAGTAAACTTATGCTAATGCATTGGATGCCTGGGCAACTCGATGACCCGATTTATGTGTTTCAAATACAAGTCGACTCCCTTGCTAGCATTTTAATGTCCTTCGTGTGGCAAGAAAGTGAAGTCTGCCGCAGTAAGTTGTTGGTTCCTATTTTCGGCCAAGTGATCTGACTTGCTGGTACCGCTCCTTGGATAATCAGTGTGATCATACTTGTCCATTGCGATCTCATTTTTACAAGCCTCAATATGGGCACGAATAAGTTCATAACCACCATAATACGTAGCTACTTGACGCAGTTAGCGGAATTCAAGTAAGAAATGCGGGCCGAGAGTAGTAAAGCGAAGAGACTTCTTTTCACAGGAAGTTGAAAAGCCAAGAAGTTGAAAGGCTACCATGAAATATTTTGTGGAGTCTTCTTCTTGTCCCTATTCCCACTGCTTCGAAGCAGAACGGACAAAGCACCCATCTTTTTGTCTTTGCCAACGCGAAGGTTGCCAAGGCTCCCTCATTTCTGTCATATTGAGAATGTGTCATCGTTCTTGAAATTAACAGAGCAAGAATTCTTGGTCCATATCGAAGTGGAGAAAACCTTGGTTCTCACTCTCTCTTAGTTTCTATTAGGCGAGTTAAACTATGAATTTCCCTTCTCAAATTACACGAATTCCCCATCCTAAGCCGACGACGAGTGTGTGTCCAGAGGAACAGAGAAGATCGATTCCAACAAGATGGGTTTGGAAGCCGACGATTCTTCGTCTCCTGGGGAAACGGTGATGGTGGTGATGGACGCCAACAGGAGCAGAGGGAACGTCCATGCTATTGAATGGGCTCTCAGGCACGTCGCCCGACGAGGGCACACTGTTCTTGTTCTTGGCCTCCTCTGCGAGATTGGCAAGCGAGCTTCCTGCTTTCCTTTTCACATGGGTAACCAGTAACCACACCCTTAATTTACGTATAATGCATATTGGTTTGAGATAATTTGCGTAGTTTTAGCTCTCCACGTGATTTTTTGTCCAACACCATTTCAGCGGCCCAATTACACTGCGGAAGAATTTCTCTTTTGCGATGCTGGAATCACCTACCTCTCACCTGCACAAAAAAGTTCTGGGCTGCCTTTTTGTTTTTATGGAAAAAACTATCCCTTAGTCCCATAACCATGTTTTTATCATCGAAATCTGACCAATTTAAATTTTCAAGGTGTTTAAACTGGGTGCATTGTCGATCACCCACAAGCAGCTTAAACTGTTAAGAAGGACTAAAAGAAGTGTATGTGTCCTGGTGTCATTCATTGATATCCTCGACGTCGTTCCTGTTGTTCCATTAATATTGTAAGGTTTTGAAGGTCGCAGAACAACTTTATATCTTCACGTTTCCTCAGTAAGGTAAACATAGTCAATAATTTTTGCAGGGGAAAAACTAGAGTGCTTAGGAGAAGGGGAAGTGGATCCCACGGAGCTTGAGGAAGAGATTGCCAGAAAGAGGGATGAATACAAGAGTTACCTCCAGCCATTTTATCGGCACTGCAAGAAAAATGAGGTTAGAGACTATTTAATTTGCAGTAAGAAGAAAACGCCACTGAGTAGGCATAGAGCTTTCCTTGTGCAGGTGAAATTGGAAAGTAAAATTGCTGCTGGATTATGTCCAAGAAAAGTAACAGTTGACGAAGCACAGAGCTGTAATACTTGTTGGATCATCTTAGACAGGTCTCTCTCGATGCTTTCTCTCTCTTAAGCTGAAGATTAGGATCATTCCAAATTTTCTTGCGACTGATGTTGTATATACTCCTCAAAAAAGGAATTATCTCAGCCTTTGAAGAATGTTGGTTTCCACAGTATTTTTATGATCTGCTTATTTGCTATTTCATCTTGTGCAACGATTTACGTATTTCATTGAAATACCTCAGCTGATTTGTCAAGCTTGTTTCTTCTCACTGTTGACAGCCATCTAAAGAAAGACAAAACCTACATATATGCGCATGTGTGCTGCAATCTTGCGCTAGTCAAGTGCAAAGATGTGGTGACTTTAATGCCATCGAAAGTAATCCTGCAGAAAAGTTCTTTGAAGCATAGACGGGTTGATGATGCACTTCTCTCCAATGAACCTATTACAGATGACCAGGAAGAGAAGTCCATAACACCTCCACCTAAGACCTGCTGTTGGTACCCACTCGCATGGAGAACTGGCTTTCCTCGATATTTTACTCAGAGTGAGCTTGAAGTGATAACCAGTGGTTTTTCCGAGGAGAATATTGTGCAAACGCAAGATAATGTAAAAGTGTATCAAGGACAATTTCAGGAAACACCTGTCCTGGTAAATTGTTTCTCGCAAAATGATGAGCGTTTTTGGTCGATGCTGAGGATCCTTTCCCGTGTACGCCACCGGAATATCTTGAATATTGTTGGGTACTGCTTCACGGGTTCTTCCATGTTCTTGCTCTTCGACTTCCCCTTTATGGTACTTTAGAAATCAACTTGCAAAGTAAGAGCGAATTCCTCACTCTAATTATTTCTTGCTCTTATAAAACTTTTTGGCATGTGCATGTGCTTTAGAACTTTGTGGCCATATTTAATGATTATAATTGCTTGCATGGCTCCCCATCTCCAATAGTCCAAATTCCTGTTTGATGAGAGTATGTAACCATAATGACGTTGGCGATTATGGAGTTGGCAAAACATTGGAAAATTTAGCTAAGGAACTTCAGTCTCTGGCTCTGTACGAGGATCAAGTAAGGGTGGCAATGGCTGAGTATGTATTTACTTCTGCTCTGTTAAATCAATTTTTTACCTTGATTTGGATGTACTATTTCTATCAGTGCACGTTATGTTTTCTGTGGTCTACACCTGAATTGAGCATAATTGCAGCCAATATACAATTCTATTTTGACACACTGTAAGAGTAACTATGCAGCCGGCCCAGCTTGGCTATGGTTTCTGTCCCTATGTCTGGTTTTACTCTCTAATAAGCTGTAGAGCTTCCGTTTGAATTTTGAACCGAGAGAGTGATAGCTGATGAGATCACTTATCTGAGATTCTTCCATCACTGCTTTTAAAAGGCTTTTGTAATGCCTATTGATCTTGCTACAGATAGATGAGATTATATTCCACATATCTCTTTTCTTTTTTTTACTTAATTGCAGGTTTGAAAGCCTGTGTTCCCCATGAGTCTTACATATGCTCTAATTCTACTTGATTTATATGACGATTTGGCTGAAAAATACCATGGAAAGCAAGATGGTACATAGTGGTGGAAAAAGGTGCATGTTTACGCTATCTTCACGAGGAATGTGTTGATGGACTGATCGTGCATCTCTCTGTCTGTTCCAGTCATGTCATCTATCCTCTTGGTGGCTCTGTAATGGTGATTTTCATGCTGATGACTTCGAAGGAAGCAGCTTTCTGGCAAACGTGAAGGAAGTTTCCAAGCAGCATGGCTTAGTTCAAGTACAAGAAACGCTCCTTTTCGAGATATTAGGAGACTCAAACATAAAGTTGGGAAATGCTGACAGAGGAATAAGCTTGATTAGCAGCAGGCTTTGCTACAAGAAGGTCCTCATTGTTATCGATGATATCGATCATCTGTACCAGCTGAGGAAATTGGCAGGGGACAAAATTTGGTTTGGCTCGGGAAGTAGAATCATCATCACCACCAGAGACAAGCATTTGCTAGAAGCCCACGGAGTAGAACACTTTCACGAGGTCAAGAAATTAAATTGTATTGACTCATACAAGCTCTTTTGTTGGAATGCCTTCAAATCACCTAATCCTCCAAAAGAGTTTGAGGACCTCACATGTCGTTTACTTGATTATGCTAAAGGCCTTCCCTTGGCTCTCATTGTTTTGGGTTCCTTCTTGTGTGGTAGGAATGTGAGGGAATGGGAAAGTGCAATAGCAAGGTTGCAAAGTGTACCTAACCGAGAATATAATGAAATATTGAAGATTAGCTATGATGGTCTTGATGATCTTGAGAAAGCTATTTTTCTTGATATTGCTTGCTTTTTCAATGGGGATGACCAAGATTATGTGACGAGAGTCTTTGATGCTTGTAAGTTCTTTCCTGATATTGGAATTAGAGTTCTATTCGACAAATCTATGATAAGCATTGAGCTCAACAAGTTAAACTCAAAAGCAGAGGCAATGCCTTTTGATTGGCAACCAGCATGCTCATAACCAACCGTTCTGCATCTGGAGTAAGATTACAGCTGCTTATATTACAGGGGCATCGTGCAAAAAACACTGTTTTATAGATGAAAAATTACTCCACTTTCCTTTTTGCACAATACACACAAACAAGCACTATCTTACACTAAAAAATAGGATGCATCAATGTCCCAAGATCAGTTAACCATAGGCGGTTATTGGAAATACAAGTCGGATATGATCGGAGGCCATAAGGCAAGCCGCATACTTGGATAATGTCTTCATTTTACCTGCCAATCCCATTGATCCTCTGAATAACACTAATAATACCTTGAGACCCCAGATGACCATCTCCATTGGCCACCATTCCAGAGAACAGCTGCTTGCACTGTGCAGCTCCGGGCAAAACAACCACCTTCTCATCCTCAGCTCCTTCTACTACATCCACACCCATCCCCAAATCCTTCACCGTGTACTCCGCGAACCCGCCCGGCCTGAAATCCTTCCCAATCATCCTCTCCCCAAACAACTCCATCACCATCGAGCCCGCGGCCCCGCCTCTCACCGCGTCCAGAAACTGCCTCACATCCAACCCTGCCCGCTCCGCAAAAACCAATCCTTCACTCAACCCCAACTGATTAGCACCCACCATTATCTGATTAGCAATCTTGCAACTCTGCCCACACCCAGCTTTCCCCACGTAAGTGACTTTACCCATACAGTCAAACAAGGACCTCAGCCACTCGACAACCCCATGATCACCACCGGCGAAAATAGCCAACTTTCCATCTCTAGCACCGATGTCGCCCCCGCTCACAGGCGCATCGATTGCCCAGCAATCCCGGCCTCGCGCAACATTGAAGATCTCGCGGGCGAGGTCGGGATGGCTGCTGGTGGTGTCGACGATCGCGCCTCCGGGGTTCAACCCGGAAAGAATGCCATTGGGGCCGAGGACAATTGATCGAACATCTGATGGGTGTCCCACCATGGTGAATACAACGTCGCTGCGCGCAGCAACATCACGAGGGGAATTGGCGAGAAGGGCTCCAAGGGATTGGAGAGGGAGGGCTTTGGAAGGGTTGCGAGAGTAGATGGTGAGAGCGTAGCCGGCCGAGATCAAGCGAGCGGCCATGGAAGCTCCCATCACGCCGATGCCGATCCAGCCGATGCGGGTCTGCGCAGGGTTGACGGGCGTTGGGTATGGAGTTCCCATGAGTACGGAGCGGGAGAGAGTGAGAACTGGTGGATAAGGGGGAACCGGGTGCTTTGCCTTTGTGGCTATCCCAAAGTGAGCACAGCAGACTCTGTGCTGGACATAACCCAGAAAAGCACTGCAGGAAAAAAAGGGAAAATGACACGGAATTTACTCTGACCTAACATGTAACGGGAAACATGAATTTTTAATTTATTTAATATAATTTTTAAATTTTATCTTAATATGCAATATTAGTAATGTGCTTTCAATTTATTCAATATGATTTCTGAACTTTTGATATATATTTAATCTAGTCTCTAGACTATCATTGAATTTAAATTAGTGATCACATTGGATATTTTCATATAATTCAAGAACTAAATTGAACATGTACCAAAAGTCGAGAGATCACATTGAACAAATTGTATGTTCAAAGACGATATTGCACATTAGATTAAAATTCAGGAATAACGTTTAATAAATTAAAAGTCCGGGCCCACACTGTATATTTAATCATTCGCCCAAAAAAATGCCAAGTTTCCCCGGATGTGCTCACCTAAATAGAGAGACGCTTATTGGAGATTGTACTGAAGTACTTGAGTTAAATACAAGGCAATAATCAATTTGATTTTGTGGACGCATTATGTACCTCATGAGACTCTTTTATTGTCGCGTAACCAGTATGCTTCAACACATCGTTAGAGTTTTTACTGTCTCATAACCTGTTTATCCTGAAGACCCATTATTTACTGGAGTAGCTCAACGCGGGATGACTCTATTCAAGGAGCTGACCTAAAAATCTATCCTCAACGAATGGTTCCCAGGTGATTGAAGGAATCTTGCTTTTTAGCCAAAAGGGTTCATAATATGTACTGAAGTTCCCCATAAGGTGAAACCAATTCGATGAAAGAAACCACAAAGATATTGTCTTCCTGGAAAATGTGACAAGCCTACAAGTTTATGTTCTCTTAGTCATCATTATTCCTTGTGAACAACATGGGTATGATTCTCCAGCTTCACTTTCAGAGCGGGTTTAACTGGGATGCCAACAAGTTAAATCAAAATGAGAAAGAAGTCCTTGGTCTAATTTGATGTGCAATGGAAAGGAGAAGAAAAGAATCCCTAAAAGTAAGTAAACAACGCTTGAGACACACTGTGCAAGAAGATGGAGTGATCTTATCAGGAAAGTAGTGTCGCCCTCTTCTTAGCGTTAGAACTTCTGTAAATTATTTGGAATGCAGAATGCAGTATATGACAGTCAAGTTGCTACTGGCCATTTTAACATGGACATAGAGCATTGAATGCGTAACAGGGAGGTAGGAGGAAATTCAGTAAACACAAGATTTTCAAATGGAATCTCGAGTCTCAACAAGTTCTTACTGGAACTGAGATGACAAAGTCAATCGAGAAAGCTAATAGAATGTTGCTGCTATAGAATATTTCTCCGCTTCTTCACAACGAAGCATTGTTTGTACATTTTTCTAGTCCTTCCTCACTGTATTCTGAAGTATTATCGTAGACTACTTAACATGATGCCTTTGCCTTGCTATCCTCTTTGCTGGTCCTCTGAATCATCCTCATATTCCCCCCCAGCATCGGTCTCCTCAGTGTGCTCATCAGCACTTCCCATTGATTCCTCACTATCTTCATCATAAATTACCTCTGGATAATGAGTTGCTGATATGATGTTGTTTTCCAGTGTCCAGTTTAATTTTTCCTCATGTTTGAATTCCAGAAAAAGACCGCATCTCGTTATAAATTTTTCTATTGAAGAGTCCACAGCATCTATCTCTTCAAGGGAGAATTCTATGTAATTGCAACCTTCCCAGGCCTTAACTACTGGACATGGAAAATACAGCAACCATAAATGATCTGACTTCAGTGAGATGAAGTTCTCCACACCCTTAATTACTAATTCCCCGTTGATAGTACCTTGAAGCTCGCAGGTAAAAGATTCAGAAACAACAGCACATAGAGCAAAACCAACCAGCTCAGCACATAGAAGCTCAGGCACTTGAAAATAGAAGAAACCATTCTTGGTTTGATACTTGAACCATTCTGGAATCTCACAACCTGGCAAAGTAAGGCTGAATGTGGGATCCTGAAAAGAAGAACCCCTTAGATTTTTAACATGCTGCCTTGTAGGTGGTGTGTGTGTGTGTGTGTGTGTGAGAGAGAGAGATTTACCTGGTTCAAAAGAATGTTTGCAACAGTGTCACCCAAATTCTCAGCCAGTCTCTGGCAGTTGGTGAGGTTGATAGATTTGACATGGGGAAAATCCTTGGTATGGGAGTTGACCATGTTTGATAGCTGTGAAAATACTTCTAATGACTCACAGTCTATGGCACTTACACTTCCAATGCTTGGTGGAAGAATAGGTACCTCTTGTAGCTGCCTGCAGAAATTTAACTCGAGTTTCCGTAAGTCGGCAAGTTCGCTGATCCATGCAGGAAGCTTGACAAAATTGTTCCATGAGAACTCTAATTCCTCCAAGGTTGAAATGCAAGACATATTCATGAGGAAGTTGACTTCTGTTAGATTGCAGTTTCGAAGGTCCAGAGATTGGAGAAAAGGAAACTCCGGCAAGGATTTTCCATCAAGGGAAGTACCAAAGGGAAAGCTTTTTGTTTCACGAAGAACGGACACCAGATGCTCTCCGCTCTCCATGCAACTTGTTGAAACATTTATACGATCAGAAGTTTCTGGTGCTTGCCATTTATCTTCAGTGTTATCTAGGAATTTACCGAGTTCGAAGCAATTACGTAGTAGAAGATGCTTCAGATGTAATAGCTTATGAATTCCACTCGGAAGCCCTTTAAGCTTCTTGCAGCCAGATATACACAATACTTCTAGCCCCACAAGATTTCCTATCGAAGAAGGTAGTTCCTTTATCGCAATCTTGGACAAACGAAGTTCCTTCAAAGATTCCATATTTTCGAGGTTGTTGGGAAATGTTTCGAGTCTTCTACAGCGGGTTAGAAGAAGAGTCTGGAGTGATTTCAACTTTAGGTTGGTAGGAAGTTTCCTTAGATTATAGCAATGTTCAAGGTTCAAAGTTACAAGCCTGTCAAGAAGGCCGACGGAGTCATGTACCTCAAGTAAACTCGTGCAATGAGTGAGAATCAAGGACTCAAGATTGGGGAGAGCAGAGAAGTCAGGGATCTCTGTCAGGAATCCAGAACCTTCAAAACTCATGTGCTTTAAGTTCTTAAAAATCTGTATAAGCAAAGAGGACAAAAGGGGATCAGCTTGGCTACAAAAGTCATTGTTAAAATGAATGAGGAAAACTTCAAAGAAGTAAGTTTTCAACCTTGTACCCTTGACCCAAATCCTTGATGTGGCTGTTTGGCATGAAGAGGCCTACAAGTTTCTTTGGATGAAAATTGGCTGGCAGAGACGGTAAGGGATATCCCTCCCAATCAACCCATCTCAAATTGTTGGAGAGATGGTCGAAGTCTCCTGATACATATGCATTATGAATTATGAGCACTCTGAGCCTTCTCATCCTTTTGAAGGCTTTGGCATTCAAGTATACCTCTTCTGTTTCAGGCAAAACTATTTTTATGGCTTCCACTTTATTTGTTCCCTAAAAAGCAAATTCATGGCTTAGTCAGAAGGTTCACCGGCATGCTGAAACCTACTCAATGAAATCAAATGCCATTCTGTTTGGTTTTTTCTAAGAAGAAATAGAACGGTTAATGACTGAAATAATGAGGACTTTGCACGAGAGTCATACCAAATTTTCTGTCAGAACATCAGTGATGTCTTCTGAGTACCATAATCGGCTGCGTTCACCAGGATTGTTCGGGGACTCCTTGCGTACAATTTCCCTCCCCATCTCTTGCAGTAAGTCGTGCATTGACAACTTGTTGAGCTCAATACTTATCAAAGATTTGTCGAGTAGAACTCTAATTCCAATATCAGGAAAGAACTTACAAGCATCAAAGACTTTCGTCACATAATCTCGGTCATCCCCATTGAAAAAGCAAGCAATATCAAGAAAAATAGCTTTCTCAAGATCATCAAGACCATCATAGCTAATCTTCAGTATTTCATTATATTCTCGGTTAGGTACACTTTGCAACCTTGCTATTGCACTTTCCCATTCCCTCACATTCCTACCACACAAGAAGGAACCCAAAACAATGAGAGCCAAGGGAAGGCCTTTAGCATAATCAAGTAAACGACATGTGAGGTCCTCAAACTCTTTTGGAGGATTAGGTGATTTGAAGGCATTCCAACAAAAGAGCTTGTATGAGTCAATACAATTTAATTTCTTGACCTCGTGAAAGTGTTCTACTCCGTGGGCTTCTAGCAAATGCTTGTCTCTGGTGGTGATGATGATTCTACTTCCCGAGCCAAACCAACTTTTGTCCCCTGCCAATTTCCTCAGCTGGTACAGATGATCGATATCATCGATAACAATGAGGACCTTCTTGTAGCAAAGCCTGCTGCTAATCAAGCTTATTCCTCTGTCAGCATTTCCCAACTTTATGTTTGAGTCTCCTAATAGCTCGAAAAGGAGCGTTTCTTGTACTTGAACTAAGCCATGCTGCCTGGAAACTTCCTTCACGTTTGCCAGAAAGCTGCTACCTTTGAAGTCATCAGCATGCAAATTGTAAATGGCCTTGGCAACGGTGGATTTGCCTATCCCTCCAATTCCATAGAAGCCAATCATCCGAACGTCGTCCAGACCAATTCCAAGAATTGGATTAATTCCATCTAGGGTGTCATCTATGCCAACTGGGTGAGTAGCAACATTCAAAGCGGGGCGATTCAATTTACTCGAGACTTCTTCAACGATTGTCTGAATGAGCTTTGATTCAACCCTGCAAGTTCCAGTGGATCAGCTCAGAAAAAGTAAAGGTAAAGGTCCCATTTTACCAAGAACAGAAAACCAGTTAGTTTCAAGTTTCAGCAAGACTTGCGAAGGACATGAAATAAAAATTTATAATGAAGATTCAACTGCAGCTTATTGCTACGTCAATATACTTTTTTCATATTGACATTACCATCAATCTGTACATAAGCAGGTTGTATAGTAGTGATAGAGATTCATTCTAATCTTCAGTACGAGGAGATAACTTCAAAAGGAGCCACTGAATATGTAGATTTCAATGCGGAAATAATTAAAAAACCCCCAGTATATGAAAAAGTGTAACTGATCCAACCTACTATGTCAAACTTAAAGAAGAGGGAGGAAGTAATGGTACCCTTTTGAGAGTGCCACCCAGCCATATTAGCCAAATCCTCAAGAGATTTCCTCCATTTCATGACCCTCTCAGAATCTTTCCCAAACTTGTCCTCATGTTTGGCCAGATAATCTCCTGTTTTGCCAGTTTGCTTTCGCAATTCAGAAGGATCCACCCTATAAAAGATTGGCCTGACCATATGACCCTTTGTCTCTTTACACTCAAGAATCTTGACGAGCTCGTCCAAGCACCACCCTGAAGAAGTATAGTTTTCCGAGAACACGACAATGGAGATCCTGGATTCTTCAATCTTCTCCGAGAGCTCTGCAGAGATGCCTTCCCCTTTGGGAAGCTGGTCGTCCAGGAAAGTGTTGATCCCATGACGGCACAACGCATCGTAGAGGAAATTCGTGAAGCCTTCACGGGTGTCCTCACCTCTAAAGCTCAAGAACACATCGTAGTTCCATCTTGGGGACATAGAAGAGGATGCCATTGGATGGTCAAGCTAGAGGAGACACTTAGATGGTAGCGATCATGGGTTATACGATTGATGCAGATGGCAATATGAATGAAAGCAGGAACAAAGACAAGGGGACAAGAGAAATGGTGAATTCCAAGGAGCAATCTAATTATCCATGTATGACCATAGAACCCACTTGCTGGCCTATTTTTCCCTCTCTCTCTCTCTCTCTCTCTCTCTGAGAGAATCCACACAAATCAGTCAGCTTTATAATGGAGTGGAGAGCACCGAGAAAAAATGTAAAACGGATTATTCTGAGAAATCAGAATTTCATGTTCTGTGGTTGTTCATGAGTCAAAAAAGGTTGAATCCTCTTGGAGTTGGACAAGACAAATGCCATCTAAACACGGAAGAAAAGAAGAGCCGCCGGGTTGGGCTCACTGTGTGACATTCCTAGCAACTTCCTTGGCATATTGAAAACACGTATTTAACACGAAACGGAAAAATATATTTCCAAGGCGTTGAATATGAAGGCCAGGACGACCCCATACGATCTGTTCATTGCACTCCAAGTCCAGAATGTCAATGTCCAAAATAAAAAAGGCTAGCTTGCTTTATTTGAGTTGACCTCGATTCATAAAACTATGGAAAATAAAAAAGGCTAGCTTGCTTTATTTGAGTTGACCTCGATTCATAAAACTATGGATACCAGAATGATGTGGTTTTAATATGTCATAAGAAAGAAAGATTAAAAGAGAATGGTATTTATTCTCTTATAATGGTATAGGAAACAATGTACATGAGAAGCCTTTATATAGACTTAGAGGAGTAAAGGAGCCTAGCATTCTTCCTATGTGGGACCAAAGAGAAAGAAGAGATGTAAAGGAAAACCTACAAAACTATACAACATGTTCTAACACCCCCCTCAAACTCAAGGTGGATCAAATAACGAGAATTTGGAAAGAAGAAATTTAAATCGTTGTAATGTAAGAGCTTTCGTAAAACAATCGGCAAGTTGATTCTCAGTTCCAACAAAAGGAAGTGAAATAGTGCGAGCTTGGAGATGATGATGAGTCAGATGATAATCGATCTCAATATGTTTGGTACGCTCATGAAAGACTGGATTTGCACCGATATGAATAGCACTCTTGTTGTCACAATGTAGAAGAGTAGGATCCAGAAGTGAAACTCCCATATCAGCAAGTAAGCGGCGAAGCCAAACAATCTCAACAGTAGTGTCGGCCATAGCACGATACTTGGACTCTGTAGAGGAGCGTGAGACAATATGTTGTTTCTTGGAACGCCAAGAAATAAGTGAATCGCCAAGAAAAATGCAATAACCAGTGATAGATTTGCGATCAGTGACATTGGAAGCCCAATCAGCATCAGAATAGGTACGCAACTTGAGAGCAGAAGAGGATGGTAGAAATAAGGAACGCGATAAAGTGCCTCGAAGATAGCGCAGAATCCTTAGAATAGCCGCATAATGAGTTGTTCGAGGAGCAGCAACAAACTGACTGACAACATGAACAACATAGGCGATGCCGGGTCGGGAGATAGTAAGATAAATAAGACTGCCAACCAAGGTCCGATAGCGGGTGACATCAGAAAGAGGTTCTCCATCGTCTGGGCAAAACTTTTGATTTAGCTCAATAGGAGTGACAGCAGTACGTGAATATGATAGAGCAGCCCTGGACAGAATATCAGCGGTATATTTCTGCTGAGAAATGAGAATACCACGTGAACTGCGAGCAATCTCAAGCCCAAGAAAATAGCGCAATGGTCCTAGATCCTTCATGGCAAAATGTTGCTGAAGGTGACGCTTGGTATGCTCAATACGGTCACGATCATCTCCGGTGATGACCATATCATCAACATAAAGAAGAAAAATAGTGCAGCCGGAAGAAGAGGTATGAACAAACATAGCATGATCATCCTCACTTTGAATGAAACAGCAGACTGAATAGCATCACTAAACTTCTCAAACCAAGCACGAGGGGCCTGTTTGAGACCATAAAGAGCCCGTCGCAAGCGGCAAACCTGTCCAGAGGTATGAGCAAGACCAGGCGGAGGTTGCATAAAGATATCTTCCTGAAGATCACCATGAAGAAAAGCATTCTTCACATCAAGCTGAAAGAGAGGCCAACTGCGAATTGAAGCAACAGCTAATAAAGCACGGACAGATGTCATCTTTGCTACGGGAGCAAAGGTCTCCTCATAGTGGATACCATACTCTTGCGAGAAACCTCGAGCAACCAGATGAGCTTTGTAACGCTCAATACTGCCATCAGAACGAGTCTTAATCTTATATATCCATCGGCAAGATACGAGGGAGCGACCTGGAGGAAGAGGCACAAGCTCTCAAGTACCAGTACTCTCCAAAGCCGAGAGTTCCTCAGCCTTGCCCGGCGCCATTCTACATGCTGAACTGCCTCGCGATAACTATTAGGTTCTTGTACAGCATGAACAGCAGCTAAAAAGGATCCAAACTCAGTAGAATAAGAAGTAGCAGCAACATACTAGGCAGGTGGACGCCGATCTCGAGGAGGATTACGGCGTGGCTCTAGTTGTGCAGAATCGTCGAGGGCAGATATATCTAGATCCGATGTAGAAGAGGGACTAGAAGGATCAGGTAGAGGATCAACAGGAAAATTCATAAATGGAACAGGAGACGAAACATGAGGTGTAGTATTTGTTGAAAAGAAAGGGATGTATTCATGAAACGTAACATCACGAGAAATACGTACACGTCGCGCATTTGGGTCATAACAACGATAACCTTTGTGCTCAGTACTGTAACCCAAGAATGCACATGGGATAGAGCGGGCGGTAAGCTTTGTACGTTCAGTGAGTGGAAGAATGACAAAACAAGTACATCTAAAAACTCGAAGATGATTATAGCTAGGAGGTCGAGAGTAGAGACGCTGAAACGGGATGTCTTGATGGAGAACAGATGAGGGTAGGTGATTAATTAGATGAACAGCCGTGAGAAGAGCCTCAGCTCAGAACTCAGTGGGAACGGATGTGCCAAGTAAGAGAGCTCGAGTGGTCTCTAGAATATGACGGTGCTTGCATTCAGCAACTCCATTTTGAGTTGGAACCCCAGGACAAGATAACTGAGGAAGTGTACCATCACTAGCTAAGAGGGAACGAAACACACCAGAGAGATATTCTCCCCCTGAATCTGAACGGAAAACTTTGATTTTTGTATTAAATTGTGTGGAAACCATGGAAGTAAAAGACTGATAAATGGTAAAGAAATCACTACATTGACGCATAAGATAGACCCATGTATAACGAGAATAATCATCAATAAAAGATACATAATATTTGAAACCACTCTTGGAAGAGAGCGGGGCAGGACCCCAAACATCAGAATGAACAAGATTGAAGATCGCACTAGTTCTAGAGTTACTAACAGGAAAAGGCTTAGCATATTGCTTGGCCAAAGGGCAGATAGAACATGAAGGAAGACTACCAGAAGAAATAGGACCCAAAGCACCTTGTTGGTGAAAGACGGTGAGACGAGAAGACGGAATATGTCCAAGACACTGATGCCACCGAACAAGATCGAGGGTAGCCAACACAGGATGAGGAAGAGAGGAAGTTGGAAGATGGAGATGTTGCATAATATAAAGTCCATCCCGTCTACTGCCCCTGCCAATCATCTTGCCACTCAAACGATCCTGCACAAAGCAAGAGCTATTTGTAAAGCTTACAGTACATCCAGCATCGGTGAGTTGTCCAACAGATAAAAAATTGAGAGCCAAAGAGGGAACATGTAACACATCAGGGACATTGAAATCTTCAGAGACAGTACGTGTACCCTGTCGGGTAGCTAGTAGAGGAGAACCATTAGCAGTAAAGAAATGTGCTGGTTGCTTGAGCTCAGAGAGCTTAGTGAGAAAAACAGCGGAAGTAGACATATGTCTAGCAGCTCCTGAGTCAAGTACCCAAGTAGTAGAAATATGGGTGGGGTAGCTGCAGCGGTGCTTCCAGCAGATGAGAGAGTTGTAGAAGTACCAGAATTGGGAAAAGACCTGGGCAGATAAGGACTCAAACGGGCAAGTTGGGCCTCAAGAGCAGCAATACGGTCATCCGTAGAGGGAGAAACCAGAGTAATAAGTTGAGAGATTGGAGATGCGGTAGTGACTCGTGGTGATGCAGAAAGGCGTGAAGCATTCCTCTTCTTCCAACAATGTGACTCGTCATGACCAGGACGATGACAATACGTACATGAAAGGCGGCGAGGACCACGAGTAGGCGAAGGACGTGGTGGAGCAGCCAAAACTGTAGGCGGAACACGTGGTGGAGCAGCCAAAATAGCAGTTGAATCAGAAACTGCCGAGGAGGAAAGAAGACCAAGACGAGTTTCCTCAGACTGTAATTCTTTGACAGCGTCAAGGAGGGATGGTCTTGGAGAGCGGTGAAGAAGTTGGCTGCGAACACCTTCATAGGGAGAGCCGAGCTTCATAAGAAAAGAATGTAGACGGTGCCTATCTTGAGTCTGAAGTCGAGTAGATGGACACCGAGTACGGTTCAGGCATGATGGGCAGAGAATAGGAGCAAGAATATCCAGTTGACTCCAAAGTGAGTGCATGTAATTGTAGAAATCTCGAATAGAGCGAGACCCTTGCGTAGCACTGTAAACTTCTTGCTCCAACTGATAAACTCGAATGTCCCCTGTCTGGGTGAACATCTCGGCAAGCTGATCCCATAAACTTTTCGCCTCAACAACATTAGAAAATTGTGGGCGAAGAGCAGGATCAATGGAACCAAAAATGATAGCCCATGCCTTCCGATCAGCAACATTCCATGCTCGAATTTCAGCGGCACGTTTCGCAACTTCATCAGATGATTCACTTTTAAGAGCACCAGGACAAGGACAAAGTCCCTCAACATGCTCAAACAAGTCGCGGTAAACAAGTGCTGCCATTGCCGATGGTTTCCAAAGAGAATAGTTTGAACCATCGAGTTTGACGTCAATACGGTCACTAGAATCACCCATGACGACAGAAAAAGAAATCACTAGCAAAGCTAGAAATATGGATTGAGGTGAACGAAAGGATCGAAAAAGAAGAAGCGCGGATTAGAACGAGCAAGGATGATGGCCCAAAAGCCCTAAACTCATTATCTTAATTTCTGATGCGGAAGATCCAATTTATGGCAACCGCAGAGCATACTTTAAAAGATAATGAGCTCATTGTCTTAATTTCTGATGCGGAAGATCCAATTGATGGCAACCGCAGAGCATACTCTTCAAGACAATGATCTTGGCTTTGATACCATGATAAGAAAGAAAGATTAAAAGAGAATGGTATTTATTCTCTTATAATGATGTAGGAAACAATGTACATGAGAAGCCTTTATATAGGTTTGGAGGAGTAAAGGAGCCTAGCATTCTTCCTATGTGAGACCAAAGAGAAAGAAGAGATGTAAAGGAAAACCTACAAAACTATACAATATGTTCTAACAATTGGAAGGTGCATGTATCGTTATCGATACGAGGCGATAACAAATCCGCAACCAAGAAACAATTAACTCTTAAAATAGTTATTCTAGCCAAAAAAAAAACTCTCAAAATAGTTAAAAGCCTAAACTAGCAGATGAATATGTAATAATAACTCCAAAATTGGACATTGTTAATGATTTCTATGTAATTTTAGAGCTTAATAACTTCAAAATCGGACTTCGCAGTTCAAATTTCACATAATTTCGAATTTGTGTCATAATTCTGAAAATTATTCCGATTACAAAAACAAATGGCTTGAATTCTCATCGGACGTTGTGAATCGAAATAAATCCGGCTTGACGAGGTCTCGTGATATGTAGGCGTAAAGCCCTCTTTCCTTTTTCCCTTTCCTTTCTTCTTCTTTCTCTTTTTTTTCTTTTTTTTTCCTTTTCTTTCCCTTTCACTCCCTCTCACTTTTCCCTTTATATCTCTTTATTTTATTTTCCTATTTTCTTAAAGCCCTCTTCTTGACAAAGGGCAAAATATCACACACCCTACATGGCACATGAAAGCACATGGGAGGTTTGCTTGTTTTCCTGGTTTTCTTTGCCTGTGGATCAATTGGTGCAGGAGAATAACCTCTGGGTTAAATCAATGATGCTTCATAACTAAGCTGCAATGTGCTAAAGGAGATTCATTTTGTGTTTATATCAAGTGCATCGTGATGGATAAAAACATTCACAATCGATTTAACATCATTAAAGTATTTTTCCACTGACAAATTGCTTAAGAAAAGACAACTCCAACTTATAATATCAAGGAAGTAAGGAGAACCAAGCTTGGGTTCCCCAAGGAAAGATGTCATCTTTTTGGTTTCCATTGCCTGTGATTACCTTTCACCATTGACCCTCGAACCTTCTTGATGTGCATGATGTGTGGAACTGCTGCTTCCACTTGAGGACTCGCCGGAGACACTAGACGAGAGAGAGAGAGAGAGAGAGTTTCTGGGTCGGCATATGTTCGTTTCTGTGATTTCAATTCGAAAGCTCACTTCTTGGGCAACATGCTTCGGTCCTTAAAGTTATCATTCGAAGTGCCAGATCGACCTCAGGAGCATCACCGAAATGTCGAAACCCCTCTCGATTCACAGGTTGCGGTCTCTTATGGATCCACTCCTCATGCAAGGCCCGCTCCATCCATCGGCATACGCGCCCGTTTTCGAGCTCTTGACCGGCTGCAACTTGCTGAGACTAGGCCAGCAACTGCACGCTCACTTGGCTCTGCGTGGCCTTGAGCCCAACGCCTTCCTCGCGGCCAAAATGGTTGCAACGTACGCGAGTTCGGGCGATCTTGATTCTGCCATATTTCTGTTCAGAAGAGTTGTGAATCCCAATCCCCTGTTGTTCAATTCGATGATTCGGGCTTACACGCGATACGGGTGTTCGGTGGAAACTATACACGTGTACTGCAGAATGCATAGGTTCGGTTCCAATGGTGATAATTTCACATTCCCCTTCGTTCTCAAATGTTGTGCAGACTTATCGGATGTTGGGATGGGGAGATGTGTCCATGGTGTGAGTTTAAGAGCCGGTTGTGTGCTTGATATGTACGTGGGGACATCATTGATCGATATGTACGTGAAATGTGGGGAATTGAGTAGCGCCCGGAAGTTGTTCGATACATCGTCTGAGAGAGATGCTTCGTCTTGGAATGCCCTCATAAATGGGTACATGAAAGTGGGTGACATTCGTGCTGCTGAGAGTTTATTCGGGAGGATGCCATGCAGGAACATTGTTTCCTGGACTGCCTTGGTTTCAGGGTACACACAGAACGGGTTGTCTGATAAGGCACTGATTTTGTTCGACGAAATGCTGAGAGAAGAATCGGAGATAAAGCCCAATTATGTCACGGTGATGAGTATCCTCCCTGCATGTGCACATTCAGCAGCTCTGGATCGTGGAAGACGTATACACGATTATGCACGGAGGGCTGGCTTGGACTCAAATCCTTCAGTTCAAATAGCACTCGCTGCAATGTATGCAAAGTGTGGAAGTCTGGTAGATGCCCGTTGCTGTTTCTTTAACTTAAAAGCTGGCGACAGAACTTCAGTCGCATGGAATACAATGATAACTGCTTATGCATCGCATGGATATGGAACAGAAGCTGTGTCAGCTTTTGAGGAGATGATTAAGTCTGGAGTTCACCCTGATGACATCACTTTTACTGGATTGTTATCTGGATGCAGCCATTCGGGTCTTACTGATGCGGGGTTGAAGTTTTTTCACAGTATGAGAACTGTTTATTCAGTCGAACCGAAAGTTGAGCACTATGCTTGTGTTGTCGACCTTTTGGGTCGCGCAGGGAGATTGATAGAAGCGAAAGAGCTTATTGGTAAGATGCCAATGAAAGCAGGACCAAGCATTTGGGGCGCTCTGTTGGCTGCATCACGCAAGAACCGTAATTTGGAGATTGCTGAAATGGCTGCTAGAGAGCTCTTTGTGCTCGAACCTGATAACAGCGGCAACTATGTTCTATTATCCAATATGTATGCAGAAGCTGGCAAGTGGACGGAGGTTGACAACTTGAGAGCTTCTCTAAAAAGTCAGGGCATGAAGAAAAGTCCTGGAGGCAGTTGGATTGAGGTGAATGGTAAAGCCCATCTGTTTCTTGGAGGAGACACATCACATCCCCAAGCAAAAGAAATATATATGTTGTTGGAGGATTTGCCTAGCAAGATCAAGGCAGCTGGTTATATGCCGGATACTAGTTTTGCTCTGCATGATGTTAGCGAAGAAGAGAAGGAACAGAACCTCACAACACACAGCGAAAAGCTAGCCGTAGCATTTGGGCTACTCAACACAAACCCTGGAGTTGTACTTCGCGTGACCAAGAACCTTCGAATATGTGGAGATTGTCACACAGCTATCAAGTTCATATCTAAAATTTATCAACGGGAGATAATAGTGAGAGATGTGAATCGATTCCATCACTTTAAAGATGGCTCATGTTCTTGTCGAGACTATTGGTAAGTAATTAAGGAGTATGCTGAATGCTCTAAACAATTTTGAAGATGTATCAGATTCTTGTTCATGCATTGGAAGCTAATCACTAAATGTCTGCATTTCGCATACTTTTTGACTGATTAATCTGTTTGATGAAAAGTTCTTGTACGTTGGCCTCACATGAGACCCGTATGATTTCGTATGATTTGATAGTTAGAATGAAGCGAGGTCACATGTACCGTGTGGTGCAGGCAACTGCTCAATTTGATGTGGACTTTGCTGCAATCAAGTGCAAAAAATCATAACAGAAGTCACCAATATCGCTGACGTGACATATTACAACAAAAAGGAAAGAGTAGGAGGCTAAAAAATTTACGCTGAAGTAATTTATAAGCTTTCATTTCATCATCGATTCTATTTATCCATGATTTAGTTTTTCTTTGAAGATTTCAAATAAAAAATCAAGAGTCACTTTGGTATCGCAAGATAAATCACTACATCCTCAACAAGGGAGAATTTATTTCCACAATCCTCACCAACTTAAACAGCCGTTTCTAGTGAATTATATATCTCAAAAATATGCAGGTTACTAGACATCATCATGAAGACTGCAAACTGATATTGCTCTCAAGAAGCTACAAATTTGATGTTGTTATTGTCGTGCTCAGATAAAGAAGGCCACGATAAAGGTACAACAGAGCACTTTTCCAAGAAAAAGAGCCCCAAAACATGAGTCTGGCTCACAACTAGAGTTATCCCTGGGGCTCGATGTATTGATTGAAATGTAGACAACTCTATGATCTATTGACATGGAACGAATTGACAAATTTGTAAAACAAACATAGAAATATCGACAGAGAATGTAAATTAATTCTATACCTGTAAAAGAATTCTAGATGTACCAATAAAGAAAGTAAAACATACGAGTGATCTATTTGCGTTGTTAAAGAGAACAATTTGTAAGACATGGTCCAAGACTCCAAGGTAAAGCAGAGTTGATAAAGCACATCCATTGTTATATACAACACATTGAAGTAACTCTTCGACCCCCCTCCCGCCCCTTCAAAAAAAAAAAAGTAGCTCCAACTGGTATGATCTGTATGTTAGCAGATTTTCTCAGTTAGTCGAACTTCAGTCCGTATTTCAACCAAAAAAGAAAAAATTCAGTCCGTATACATATGGTGAACTTTGTCGACAGAGAGCATGTACAAACCATGTCACGATTCGACAACTGAAACATTTGTATAGGTGCAGTCGAGTCTCTCTACACTTGAATTCTTCTCTTTAAATCTATACCAGGAAACCTTCCATGTTACCAGCAGACTTTGCCTGCATTTAAGAGACGTCGCCACATTTATGAGAGTATACATATAGGAGCCTCCAACTGAGAGGTTTCATCATATTAGCAGCAAGCAACTTGAAAGAAACACATGTAGATGTGATAATGAAGTCGGCAAAGGATGGAGGGGCAAAAAAAGGAGAAATTTGAAGAAATGTACATGCCAAAATTTTGAGATGTCAGTTTTTTAGCCGAATGCAATGTTTGTTTAAGTGTTAATGTTCCTAGTCAAGTACACAAACCTGAATTTTTTACAATCTTCCTCCATTTTGACAACTTCTAGAAAATACAATAAATCATGCTGCATCTAACCCCCCCAACCCACACCCCCCCCCAAAACCCCTTCTGCTCCTCTGGGGCCCAGCCACAAAAGAAAGTAGTTTATTCGGATGAGGCACATATCATACGAGAAAAATTGTTGGCTTTTCTTGGAGAGGTAAATTTCTGTGACTTCATAAAGTAGGTTATGATTGATCTGCCCAATGGTTAAGGTGGAGGAAAAAGAGACTCGATGGCATATGCCAGAGAAATGACAATGGAGCATGTACGAACACAGCAATGTCTATTAAAGACTTCTTTCGTCAATGTTGCTCAATAGCAAATGAAACACCTGTTGAGTTGTCATACAAAATGGACAGGATTTGACACACCAATTATTAAGTAGAAACAAAGTATACCTCTCTAGATCTATAGCTCTCTTTGCTAGCATGAGTGTCAAGAAAACAGGAACCATTGCTGCACACAGATGCTTCAGCGTGTGCCCACTAACGATATGATGAGTCCATCTGTAAATCAATTTATCTTCTGCTTCTTCCACCTTAGCTAAAAGGTAAAATGCTGCAAGTGCAAATCAAAGGCATTCTTAACAACGCCAAAAGGAGTGATGTACCATCAGACAAAAACATGTCGACAATAAAAGCAAACCTGCAGCCCAAAGCCAGTATGATGAATGCGTATACATCGGAGGTAATATTATAGCCATAATCGGTATGGCGATGCAAGGAAGAAATTGGACAAGAGCATACGGGCGAAGGTCATCAAAGTACCTGAAGAACAATATTGAGAAAAGATCACAAATAATCGTGGGCAGCAGCTAAATAGTAAATACCCCAAACACCTCTATGCTTTACTTCAACATAGACACGATAAGATCCATTCTCAAATTAAGTATAGATTATGTAATTCAGAAGACGGCTTCAGTAGCAAAGCACATGATCATTACTCTATCTTCAGCATTATTCCAACCTAAATTCACCATCCAATTACACACTCGGCACCCGAGAACTAATTACAGTCTGCTTCTCTGAGCATGTGGTTTCATGGAAACAAATTTTCAATTTCTTTGAAGTTAAGACCTCCGCAGAAGACATATAATAAAGTTTCCTTGAAAAGAAAATCCACTTCTCTGAACCCTACTTAAACAATAAAACTGCCATCTGATTCTATACTGATCAAACAGGTAACACTTTAGAAGGAAGAAGGTAGGAAGTAGTAATCTTGCCTCCAATATAAAATGCTTAATATTCCAGCCATGAGCAACGGTATGATTGACACTGTTCCCTTATGCGGATCAATCCTTTCGATGATGAAGATTGCGACTATTGAAGTGAATGCAATAGTCATCTAGCCACAGGAGAAAAGGAGGAACATTGTCAAACTACAATATTTCCGAGCACTAATAAAAATTATGCAGTGCACATTCTTGTGAGTCGTAAATAGACTTACCGGAAGACGATCCCAAACAAGACGAGCATCATCTGGTTTGAGATGGTAATAAGCGGAGCCAAAAGCAACAGCAGCAACACCAACAAAAAAGAACGTCCAACCCCAAAGCTCACCTTGCGAGCTAACACAAAAAATCATGTATCAATTTTGAGAGCGAAGCAATGTATTCAAACAAGAACAGCATTACCTACCTTAGCTTGAAATAATTGCCATAATAGCAAAGCACCAGACCAACAAGACCCACGACAAGGAATGGAAAGTTTGAAACTACGTTCAGCGTATTGGGTATGCCTGCAAAATTAAACTGGACCGGTGACTTATATTCAAAGCGGGAGAAAAAAAGCACGAAACTATAGAAACAAGCCGAATGCGAAAAGCATTTCCAACGAATATATCTCGAAACAATGCTATCTCGACAAAATTAGACTTAACACGACACAATTACAGAACTCGGGCGAACATACATCAACCTGGTTAGCTTAAGCTTGCCCTTCTTACAAGAACTACAAAGTTAATTTCAACGAAGTGCGTCGCCCAGCCAGCTTGGGGAGCTATTACAGACAAAATCTGCTTCACTAAGGAACTGCCGGGAGACCCACATGCACAATTTAAACAATTCGACGCTCGGTCAAGACTCCCCTCCCTACATACACATCCTACTCTTAGACTCTGATCCTTTTGTTCCACCTGAGTACCCGATAAGTAGCTGTCAAACGCGAGAGCAAGGAAATTCTGATATAAACGGACGGCGACTGCAAACTACACCGAGCCGATGGAATTAGGGCTTACTAGCGAAAGAATCGGAGCGGAGGAAGAGGTGGGAAGATTTACCGAAGAAGTCGCGTTTGTCAGCGAAATCGTGATACTCCTCTGATTGAGGGATGGCGGGCGTCACCAGCATCAGCACTACGAAGCACACAACCGCCGCTCCCCAAGCATATATCGTGCGTTTCCTCATTTCCAACATCGAATCGCAGCGCCACCGAGAGAGAGAGACACAGAGAGAGAGAGATCTCCCGCTCTTGTTCTTGTTCTTGTTCTTGATGTTGATGCTCTGGGACTTCTTGGATTGACTGGGCTGTTGGTTTAATGGTTTCTGTCTTTCTTCCCAGGGCTAATCTAACACCGTGCTAAGTTTTCTTCTGCTCAGCCCTCTACAAAAAAGTCAGCGAAACTTTCGTAGAAGAAGCGTTTGCTTTTTCGTTCTTTTTCTAAAGGAAAATTGGGAAGTGCGCAAGATTGGTGAATGAAGTATACAAGGGGTTCGAAAAATTGTTATCAAATATTTGAAGGTTAATACCACGAAAAATTTCACACTGGTATACTTGTAATAATTTTATCCCGAACTAATTTTTTGATCATCAAAAACCCCAAACAGGTACACCTGTGATAAATTTACCCTCCGTTAGTTTCGGTTAAATTTTACTATCAAATTACTATGTTTGATTACATGTGGTAATTGATGGGTGTACCAGTTTGAGGTTTTACTGTTTGTCACAAATTTACCAGTTTGTGATTTTTTGTGATATCAATCCAATTTAACAAACACTAATGGAAGGTAAACATATCACAAATATACTAATTTGGGGTTTTTAGTAGTCAAAAAATAAATTTGGGTAAAACCATTACATGTGTACCAGTTTTTTATTTTTTATGATCAAAAAATTAGTTCAGGGTAAAATTGTCACAAGTATACCAGTGTGGGGTTTTTGGTAGTCAAAAAAATAATTCGTGTTAAAATTGTCATAGGTGTAACAGTTTGGAATTTTTCGTGATATTAACCTAATATTTTATTATAAGTAAATAGATGAAATAGTGAAGATGATTACAAGATGATATTCTCTTGAGAACCTTTAATGACTTTTACTTGTCTTGCAAACTCGAAGTTCTATCGATTCTTATTTTCCAAGTGAAGTCAAACAAAAAAAAACTTCAAAAAGTTAAATTATAAAGAAATGACTTGAGAACTTCTTAAAATAGTAAATTTGGGTAAAACCATTACATGTGTACCAGTTTTTTATTTTTTATGATCAAAAAATTAGTTCAGGATAAAATTGTCACAAGTATACCAGTGTGGGGTTTTTGGTAGTCAAAAAAATAATTCGTGTTAAAATTGTCATAGGTGTACCAGTTTGGAATTTTTCGTGATATTAACCTAATATTTTATTATAAGTAAATAGATGAAATAGTGAAGATGATTACAAGATGATATTCTCTTGAGAACCTTTAATGACTTTTACTTGTCTTGCAAACTCGAAGTTCTATCGATTCTTATTTTCCAAGTGAAGTCAAACAAAAAAAAACTTCAAAAAGTTAAATTATAAAGAAATGACTTGAGAACTTCTTAAAATAGTAAAGTTTTCCTCGAAATCCACGATTTGCTCGGTTTTTTTTTTTCAATTCTCACTTCAACATTATCTTTATTTAGAAAAGTGTACCAGGAATAAAAATGTAATTGATCAAATATGCGTAATTGGTAATTACTATTATCGAATCGAAAATGTCGACATGACCATTGAAATTATAACTCTTAAAATTGAATAAAAACGACCGATTTCTAATAATAATTCGAAGCATCAATTTTCGCAACCAAATCCATCGGCACCCCAGGATTAGATACTAAATTGAGCTAAGGGGAAAACTATAGGCGCAATCAAAAGTCTCCGGGCACGACTTTGATTTGATCCCTTCCAACCCGGACCACGACCCGCCGCCGTACCCGGGCCCGATAAGGGCACAATCGGGCTTCCATTTTATCGGGCCAACCGGCCTACCGTAAACCCGGCCCAGGCCCAGGCCCAATCTGCTCCTCCCCGACAGTCAACGGCTCGCGCGCCGATCCGACACCGGTCGCGGTCAATTCCTCGCGAATTCACATTCGCGCACGGGGACGGCACTATAAAAACCCTCCGCAGCTCACTTCCACTCGAAGCGAAAACCCACACACAGCGCAGGCGCAAAAACCCTTGCCGCTTCCTCTCTCTCTCTCTCTCCCCTCTCAGAGGACGACGAACACTGGTTCCTCCAAGGTCGGCGGGAAATGGCGCAGTCCCTGGAGCTGTTGCTAATCCAATTCCTGATGCCGGACAACGACGCCCGGCGGCAGGCGGAGGAGCAGATAAAGCGGTTGGCCAAGGACCCGCAGGTGGTCCCCGCCCTCGTCCAGCACCTCCGCACCGCCAAGACCCCCAACGTCCGCCAGCTCGCCGCCGTCCTCCTCCGCAAGAAGATCACCGGCCACTGGTCCAAGCTCTCCCCTCAGCTCAAGCACCTCGTCAAGCAGTCCCTCATCGAGAGCATCACCATGGAGCACAGGTTCGCTCTCTATCTCGATGCGATGCGATGCGATGCGATCTTCTGTGATTTTTTTTTTCTGTACTTTTGTTTCTGGATAGAACAATCCTACTCGTATACATAGTTAACCGCATAGAGTGCGGGCCATCTCTGCCGAACTTGAAGTTTTGATATTTAAGCTATAACAAACGGCACCTTCTATCGTTATTGAGAAATTTGTGCAGTCAATCCGCTGCTGCGGTTATGATCGTCCACTCTGAGCTTGTTTAGTAATAATCTATTACAATTATCAAGGTTTACAAACCACGCCTTCTTTTCATCACTTCTCTTCTACAAGGTCCCGTTGATCTGGAGCTTCATTGGTTACTTCGGGATGTGTTAGCATACAATTTATTATGCAGCCGCAATTGTCCATTGTTGACTGATGTGGCAGTCATATGTCAGGACTATTCAGGTTTACCATCTTTTTTTTTTCGTCACTTTTTGTGGAATTCTCACTCATCTGATCATTCTGATACTCCTCGCTGTCGGTTCTGCAGTGAATTTTATCTGTTTTTCCTTGCTTTGTTCATATAATTGAATTTAACCATTAGGATGCGCGCACGGTTTCCCTTTGCTGCCTGATAGGTTGGTGGACGTGATTAGTCATTTTCCTGAATCTTGGTATTCTTTTTTTTCTGGGTGAGAGAAAGATGTGGATGTTTGATTTTGGTTTTCTGTTTTAGCCCACCAGTGAGGCGAGCTAGTGCCAATGTAGTAAGCGTCGTCGCAAAATATGCAGTTCCAGCAGGGGAATGGCCTGATTTGTTGCCTTTCTTGTTCCAGTGCAGTCAAAGTACACAAGAAGACCATAGAGAAGTAAGTCAGGCTAAATTTTTTTGAATCCCATCTATCCTGCCACTGCAAGCGTTCTGTATGAGCATGTACGTTGTGACTTGTTTACAATTTTTCTGCCATCCTGGCCAACATAAACGTGTTTCTGTTTCTTCACTTTTTTTTTTCCTTTTACCTTGATAAGTCCCATTTAGACTTCCCCCTGATCGTCTATCAGATGTCAATTGGAGATGACAAGAATCACCTGCAATGCTTATACTAATTGAAGCTGATCTAAGGTCTTGCTCGAGCTGCATTCTGCTGTAAGCTTAATATAAATACTCTTCAAAAATTGAACTCTTTATAGGGGGCCTCCATAGGTTTAAATCAAATACGAAGTCCTTTATTTGCCCTACCTAAACCATGCTGCTCTCTTTTGCAAAGAATCTTAGTTACACTCGAAAGAGTCTTGTCTGGTTTTCTTTTTTCATTGTATTATCTGTGCAAACGGCTTTGCTGTTCCTTGTATACTATATGATTGAATCTTTCACTAACTACTAAGTTCTTTTATCTGGTGATTAAAGGTCGCCTTGATCCTTTTCAGCTCTTTGACTGAAACCATTGGGAGCACATTTCGACCACATTTCACTGATCTTCAGACTCTTTTACTCAAGTGCCTCCAAGACGAGACTAGCACTCGTGTTAGAGTTGCTGCCCTTAAGTAATAATTTTTTCTGAGTTCTATTCCTTTTTCTTCTTTTATGTTATTGGATGTTGTCCTATACATATGTCTAAGTATGTAACTGTCTGATGAACATTTCTAGGGCAGTTGGGTCTTTTCTGGAATGCATTGGTGATGGAGATGAGGTGGTGAGTACTTGTTACTGTTGGTCTTATGGAAGTTTGTATTAGTATTGTGCAGTTATGCTTCTGTATTGAAAAGCACAGAAAGATTGCTTCCTTCTAATCTCTCACACGCAAAATAAAGGGAATTGTTGAAGCGAATGCTTTTTTCAGACTCAGCTTGTGCAAGATTTTATTATCGTATTGTCAAATTGATTTTTGAATCCGTTTCACATCCTTGCTTGAGGACCTGGCACTTAACTAGTTGGTATTTGATGATGCATTTTCACTTTCATCCCTTAAAGGTATTTCGATTAACCTAAAGAAAAAAAGGAGATGGCTTGGCAAATGCTATTTTTCCGGGCTGTTGTTCTGTTGCATCTGAACTATATAACAAGGTTTTGGTGCTAAGAGTTTCAATCATTGAGGCACCCTACTTCTTGTTGCACTGTTGCATGTTGTGTCTTGTGGTACTGAGTCTTTTCCTACTCTTCCTATATGTGATGAAGTAAGCCTTCTAATCCTTAATCATGGTGGCAAGGGCTTGCTTTGCTATCTTTACTTGGTGGTCAATCCTCAAAGATGGACTCTACTCAAAATTTCCCTTTACTAAATATCCATGAGATACATGCATATCCTTTAGCACTTGTTACACCAGTGTATGTGGCGTCGATTTTGTGGTTTGGGCTGATCTGGGATAAGATATTCCCTGGTTGGAATTGTATGGTCTTCTTACTCGGATGACTTGGTCTTTCTTATGGGGAATTAGGGGTCCTAATCTCTTAGGAGAATTTCCTTTGAAAGTGCCTTGACCCTTGCGCGATCGAAACATGAAGGAAATTTGGATTTTGAAGGCAAAAGGAATGACTTTTAAGGCATCTCACTTGCCAGTTTCTTCATATGGCACTCTAACTCTTAGTTTGACATCAAAAAGTTACTCATTGAATGGTCTGACCAAAGATACTTGGGATAAGCGTTGTGTTTTACCTGGGTTTATAGCGGCATTATTTTGTTATTTTCCTTTTGTATAATGATGTGGGTTTGTTAAATGTCATGTTATGCAGGTAAGGTTTCGAGAATTTATTCCTAGCATTTTGAATGTATCAAGACAATGCCTTGCTATTGGTGAGGAGGATGTTGCTGTTATTGCCTTCGAAATATTTGATGAGTTGATTGAATCTCCTGCCCCTCTTCTTGGAGATTCTGTGAAATCCATCGTTCAATTCTCTCTTGAAGTT